TTTGGGAATCTGCATTCATTCCTTTGGTCTATATATCTCTATGCCAATTTTGCACTATTTTGGTCACTGAAGCTTTGAATTAAGTTTTGAAAACTGGAAATAGGGTTTCTCCAATTTTACTCTCTTTTTTCAATGTTAGCTATTCAGTGACCCCCACGATTCTGTATTCATAAAGAATATTAGTAATCTTCCCTTTTAACCATGTTTTGGTCTAGCTTCAATATCAGAGTAATGCTAGTCTTAATACAATGCATTAGGAAGTGTTCCTTCTTTTATTTTTTTGGAAGAACTTAAGACTGATATTAATTTCCCCTAAAATTTGTGGCAGAATTACCTTACATAGCCATATGTTTGGACTTTTAGGGAAGTTTTAGATTTGTCAGTTGCTTCATATATTTTGAGAGCTATTTTGTATTAAAATGTGTTATGTACATCTACCAACTCCCCATGGTGAATGTAACCATTATGTACTGCAAACATGTAACAGTATAAAATATTTAAAGTATATAATTACCATATCTTCTTGTTGGATTGAGACTTTTATCATTCTATACATTAATTCCCCCTTATCTGTGGGGGATATATTCCAAGATCCCTGGTGGATGCCTAAAATTGCAGAGAATACCAGACTTGATATACACTGTTTTTTCCTATACACAATGCAAAAATTTAATGCCTTTTCCATCTTAACTGAGCACTTATCACACACCATGGCTATAATTTTTGCAGACTGAGGCACAACAAAACCAACACTAATTTCTTTCTCCACAGTTTTCCGGATAGAAGAGATTCATTCTTACCACAGATCTTAGGAACCTGAGCATTGGATTTTTTTTCTTTTCCTATTTTCCTTATTGGATGTTTCTTGCATGCATGCCACCTACTGGTATCAGTAATGAACCCATGTGGTAATCTATTGGTTAATTCTGTTCTCAGTTCTATGCTAATTAGAATCATATCCATGCACACACTGCTTAAGGTTGAATTTAGAAACTTATAAACAAATTTATGAAGTTGTTTTATCAACATTATCATTAGCAAGAATAGCAGCAGCATAGAGTTCTTCTAACTGATAGTTAATAATAACAATGGACTGCCTGGAAAGAAGTATGATATGAGTGTTAAGATTGGTATCCCAGAGCAAGATATCTCAAGTTGAGCATTTGGTGACACTTGAATAAAATGTCTGGCTCCCAACCCACTCACCCTAAAGTGAATCCTCCTGAGCTATCACTTAGTTTTTTGTTGCCTTGTTCTTAAAAAGGATTACACAAGATTTTTTTAAACCCAATAGAAAAAAATAGCCATAGAGGAAATAGATAACTAAAAAAAGAAGAAAATTTAACATTTCAATAATCAAAAAGAATAGGATGTGAAATTGGAATAACCACCAAATAAAGAAAAAACTCTTAGAAATTAAAAATACAAAAGTATCAAAATAAAAATAAAAATTCAATGAAGTTCTGAGTTTGATCACCAGTACAAAAAAAAAATTCAATGAAGGCCAGGTATGGTGAAGTATTCCTACACTCCCAGCACTTAGGAGGTTGAAGTGGGATCCCTTGAGTCCGGGAGTTCAAAATCAACCTGAAACCTGTCTCAAAAAATTAAATAAAACTGGGTCCCATGGCATATGCCTGGCACAGCTATAATTCCAGCACTTTGGGAGGCTGAGGCAGGAAGATCAAAAGCACCCAGCCCACGCAATTTGGTGACTTGGCAAGATGCTGTCTCAAAATAAAAAATAAAAAAAAGGGCTGGGTACGTAGCTCATGGTGAAGGCCCTGCATTCAATCCCCAATACCACCAAAATGAAAGAAAGAAAGAAAGAGAGAGAGAGAAAGAAAGAAATGGTGAGAAGATAAAAATCAAGAAACTAGAAAAAAAGAGAGAAAATTAGTCAAGAAAGTTACTTAGGTCAATCTAGAACCTTTAATATATGACTGTTGGGAGTGCTAGGAAAAAGGGGGCAACAAATAGGAATTATTGAAGGACAGAGAAAAGGATATGACATATCTGCCCTAGTAACTTAGGGGGAAGAGGGAAAGAGCTACAAGAGGAAGCTATGGGCGTAGTTCCTTCTGCTAAGACTCTGTGTCCAGAAGAGAAGAGTATATTAGATGAGAACACTGACCATCAGTGCAAGGACTTCTGCTCTGATTCCCACAACCAGCACGAGCCCAAGAAGCCCCCTTTCCCTACAGCACAGGTTCAAGTAAGTCCTCTGCCCAACACTCTGGATGCCATCTGAGAGTTAAACATGGGAATAAGGAAGTAACTGAAGGAATGAAAAATTATTTCTTAAAGACTGATTTAAATATGAAGAAATTGTTTAAATTATGGAACTGGACTGAATTATAAAGATAATTTTTATCTCCCTATGAGCTGGATAGATTGTGGATTGTTTTATCTGGAGATACAAAGGAAAACTAGAAGAGAACTTCCTAGCACTGGATGCATCCAGCAGTTTGAATAAGATAGCCACATCCTAAATATATCACAGAAAATTTTACAATGTCAGAAGAAAGAGAAATTACTAAAAGCTGTCAGAAAAGGTACCCTACAAAAGAAGAATTGAACTAGCAAAATACTCATCATCAATAACACTGGATGTTTAAAACAACAAAACAATGCCTTCAAAAGTTCTGAGGAAAACCAGCAGGTATGGTGGTCCACAGCTATAATCGCAGCACTCAGAGAAGAGTGAGGCAGGAGGATTGCAGTGAGTTCAAGGCCACCCTGAAGTACACAGCGAGAACTTGTCTCAAAAAAAAAATTTCTGAGGAGGAAAATGTCCATTTAGAATTCTTTACCTAGTGAGGTTATTATTAAGAATAAAAACATTTCAGACAAATACGACTGAGAAATTAGCCCAATGCACACCATTCTTAGGAAGTTACTGGAGGGTCTCTCCCAAAAAAATGACAATGAGCCAAGAATCTAGACCACAGTGGATCCAATTCAGGGGCACAATGAAGGAAAGTTCCAGGATGTCAGTACCCAAGGAAGAAAGTGGAATCACAGTATAGTAATTTGCACTGCTTTGTTGCACAGGGAGCAATATTTACATAATCATAATGATATAGGCACTTTATTTTCTACTCTTAAGAATTAAAAATTCAGAAAATGCAATTAGAGTTACAACCCAGCAAGCATATAGATGTCTGCAATTTTGAAAATATGAAGACTTGGGCCGAGAATGTAGCTCAGCAGCACCACGCCTGCCTGGCAAGCACAAGGTCCTGAGTTTGTTCCCCGGTACCAGAAAAAAAAAGAAAAAGAAAAAAGAAAATATGAAGACATAGCAAAACTACAAGGAACACTAGTGACCCAGAAGATATTACTTATTGTCAACTGTTGATAGAATAAAGAGATTAGAAAGTAACCAACAGAAGGATGATAAAGAATAATGTAACTAACTTTGGAGAGAATGAAGATGGGATAGTGTGAGATAAACCTTCATTTCTGAGAACAATATAACACAATAAGAACAGATATTATCTAAATTTGGTAAATCAAGAAAGAGTATAAACGTATTATTTAGAGGTATCAAACTAAATATCAGAAGAACTATAAACAAAATTAGGAAATGGAAGTGATTCTTTTTGAGGAGTGAGACTATTTATTATAAACCATTCTATACAATTTTATGCATCATATATGTATTAGTTTAGTGAAAATTTTTAAAATTCTGATTAGAAAGCACTTTCATATGATTCCATATTCCAAAGCTACATAAAGGATACAGTGAAGTCTCAGTACCTTTTAGTCCCTCACATCCACTTACTATCTCCTGAAGTGACTAACGTGTTTCCTTCCAGATACTTCTGTATTTACAAGCAAATATGCAGCTGTAGCTAATCCTCTTCCACACTTTTCCACAAATTGCAGCAAGCTACATGCTCTGCTTTTGTACCTTGCCTTTTTAATTATACTAAGATTCCTCACAGCTGTTTATTAAGGTTGCATATTATTCCATTATATGAATTCTTTATAATTCATTTAACTAGTTCTGTACTGATAAACACCTAAGTTTTTCCCAATTCTATGTTATTCTAAGTAATGCTATAATAAATCAACCAATATTACAAGACAAATATTTAAGATAGCCTGCTTCCATTCCCCAATTCTACAACGAGCTTGGCTTTCATCTCCACATCCTCAGTGCCTACCACAGTGCTTGGCATATAGAAAGCTCTCAATTACAATTTGCTAACTTAGGTTGAATTTACTGAAGAAATTAACCTATCCAATGTGAAATAGGAAGAAAAGGTGCAAAGGGGAAGGGGAAGTAGGAAGGGTAGAGGAATAGAAAGAAGGGAATGGAATTAATATGAGAAAAGGAAAAATTAGAAACAAAGTCTTTGTAGATGGGGAGGGATGGAGGGGTTGAAGGGAGGGCAGGGGAAGGGGGAAAAATAAGAACCAAGAGAGATTATGTAAAGGTGCAAATTTCCAATCATGAGTGTCATTATACTGTATACCTTAAATATACCAATAACATTTAAAAAAAAGAAATTAACCTATCCAAACATTTCAGTGAGATACTATAATTCTGAAGTTTATGACACAGCAAAAAAAATCTATAAAAACCTGTAATACTCTGCATATTCAATCTCCATTTTTCAATTCATCAGAGAAAAATTAGTAGTGCAAATCAGTTTAGGTTATGCGGAATGAGACTGTGATGTTATTACAGTGAAGAGACTACTTATATGGTTTACATGATCCTAGCCCTAGATCCTGAATATCTAAGCTGCTACAAAGATTCTAATTCCTTGTACAGCTGTTAGTGGTTTAATCAGAAATGCAGTGTTGCCCGCCTGCCTTGCAAGCACAAGGTCCTGAGTTTGATCCCCGGTACCAAAAAAAAAAAAAAAGAAAAAGAAATACAGAGCTGCTAGTATCTTACCTATAACAGAAATAAAATGAAATAAAACAATCAATTCCTTGGACCAAAAATTATCCAATCACTAAACACGCGTCTTTGTCATACTTACTCTGAGCTCTTTTGGGCCTGTATGGATTGGAAGCAAGTATACAGTACTCGGCCAGTCTATTTTTTTAAAAAAAGGAAGAAATGTTATACAAAGAAGGATTAATTTTTGGTGTTGTTTTAAAACTATTAATTGAAATACAATATTTGTACATCTTTATGGAATATATTATGGCAATTCAACATATGTATACAATGTATAATAATGAAATGAGGATACATATTTCTACCTCTTCAACCATAACTCATTTTTATATGTTTGAAATTTCATAGCAATTTAGTAGGCCCTAAAACCCAAAGACCCTTCCAGAAATGGAAAATTAAAGAGATTCCAAAAATGAAATCTGGCACAATCAATTTCTGTTAAAAGGATCAACATAATATGGTCACAACAATACAACTGTTCACATGACAGAATTGCTAGCAAATTTGAGAACCAGGAAAGTAAGAACCAGAACATTTAAACTGCTATGTTGGAAACTGACAAACTCATTTAACAACTATGATGATAATAAATAGATAAAATTATGATGAGAAGGCAGAAAGTATTTCAAATGAAGCATAAAGTTTAAAATATTGAACTTCAATGTTTCTAGAAGTGATTTTATGGAGAAAATTCATTATTAACAGATTCTAAGAATATAACTAATCTGACCACTGACTGTCTCTACTCCTACCACTGTGGTCAAACTTCCATCAACTCTTATCTAGAGTTACCACAATATCTTCCTAAATGGTTTCACTGATGCCATGGACTCTATCCCTATCCTCCCCCATCTAGTCTGTTACCAATACAGTAGCCACAGAGATCATATGAAAATATAAAGTCACTCTCTAGTGGCTTCCCAATCGAGAGTTGAAGCCAAGGAAGGCCTTGCAAGATCTTGCCCCATTATCCTCTGGACCTCCTTTAGGATGAACAAATGAGGTATCATCCAAACAAGGGTACTTCTATGACGGAAAGGGGATAACAAAACAGAACACTGGGATAACAGTGTAAAACTAACTCTGAGGCAGCCACACCAACTCCCTCAGTATTCCCTAAACATGCCACACTCACTTAGGGTCTTTGCTCTGGCTACTTCCTCTGCCTGAAATGTTCTTCCCCTAAGAAATCCACAAGACTTGCTCCCTCACTTTCTATGGGTACTGACTCAACAGCCCTTCTCACTGAAATCTTCCCTGGTCATCCCATTAAAATTGCAAAGAGATTTTTCTCTACTCCATGTGTAAACATACACATACACACACACACACACACACACATGTGTTGTGTGCTACCTTTGTGTTTTTATCCTCTATGAAACAGGAAAAAATAAGACCCACAAAGCCTTGATCCATCATCTGGTACATGGCTTGTGTGCGAACATCTGAAAATAAAAACAAAAATGTTCTGTCAATAAACTGTATTTTGCAGTTTTAAAAATAATAGTGGCATATAGTCCTTCCAGAATTCGAGTTCTATATGCAATACAGGGATCTATCATAAGGACAATACGATTGTTAACGTATAAACATTTTGCTAGGTTAAGGAAATATTATGAAAAGTTCATTATTAGGTAATAAATAAAATATTCAAAACTCTAGGCTGCCTAGAGTAGCCGTACTATGAAAGGTAGCATTAAAAAAGAAACAAAACTTTAGGCCTCCCCCCAACTTGATAATTTCTTCCAATGGGGTCTCGAAGAGACAGAAAGGCTTTGGAAGGACACAAAAATATTTCCTGAGGAAAAAAGCCTTTTAATGGACAGCTTCTAGGAAAGTGATTATACTTGTTACTAAAGAATACAAGTATAGAACTATTTTGGAGCAAATTCTTAGAGGAAGCCTCTACATAGAATTGACCGCAACATAATTGAATTCAACATCCCCAAGAATAGAAATAAAACCCCACTATTTAAAGGCTTAAGTAGCTTAAGTAGTTTTTGAAAAGGAGATTAAAAAATAGGCATCAAATAACAACATTTAAAATGATTTATCAAGACATTAAATACCCAAAATAAACAGAAGCTAAATTTAAAAGCTGAAATCCTCAGGCTGTTGTTTAGGAAGGATACAAAAGATGAGCTATCAGTGCTTGCTTCGGCAGCACGTAAACAAAAGATGAGCTATCACAATGAAACACTGCAAAGCACAACTGGGTCTGGTTACTTCTATTTGGCAATCCATTCTTAAACACTCTTTGCATTTATATCTTTTTGATATGGATTGAGACTTCTTGTCAATGTCTTCCTAAGTAAAAACTGAGACCAAACAGGATACAACAGTGCATATGAAAGAAATACTTGCTCAAACTGCTGCTGAAAATACACGAGATTGTACAAATGGTCTCTGCACATCTACATGACCTTGATAAAGTCCTTAATATTTCAAAGCCTATTTCCTCATCAGTTAAATGAGGATAAACATCATTCTTTTTCTCATAAGTTATATCTTTTAAAAATTACAAGATTTTTAACACAATGCTTAACACATCAAAGGTACTTCATAGGCAATAGTTCTATTCCATTTCATCCACAACCAATGAAAAGAATTACTGTGCTTCACAGCACCCAAACTGCTTTTGTCAAGGTCATCAATAATGTACTTTTAGTCCTTGATTTACCTGATCTCTCAGCTGATTCAATCCCTCCTGAAACACTATCTTCACTTGGCCTTATACTTTCACTCTTGCTTCTGGTCCTCTTAACTTCCTGCCTGATCTTTCCTAGTCTCTTTCGCAAGCAAGGTCTTCTAATCTTTGCACTTGAAACACTGGCATGGCCAGAGCTCAGTGTTTAGTCCTTCTATCTTTTTACCCTCACTCCTTGAGAGATTTGATCCAGCTCCATTGCTTCGCCTTTTATCTCTTCACCTGCCACTCTCAACTCATCTCCAAAAAACTCTAGAACTCCAGACCATCTATCCAGTCACCTACTTGACACTTCAACTTGGTTGTCTTAAAAGAGTGCTACTCAGAAGAGCAGGTCTGTGAACATTTTGTTACCTGTTCATATGGAGATAAGAATCTTAAACTAGAGTGCAAACTAATGCACTTTCATCACAGAGAAAGCCTTAAGGGAAAAAAGCTGAACTAAATAATGTGCTTAGTGATATAGATAACATAGGTTCAAACCCCAGCTCTGCCACTTAAGCCTCTGTGTATCCTTCATGCAAGGAGGGGAAGATCTCTAATCTGCAGGTTACTATAAAGATTAGAGGAAACACTTGTGAACCATTACCACATAGTTAACTATCAGTGCTCATGATGGTTAATTCATTCTCCCAAGTACAGTTATTCTACTTTTTTCTAGAAAGGCAGGTAGAGACAAAAATCAACCATGATTCTCAAAAAAGGGTAAAGAAAGAAAAAGCAACTTGGTTACCTTATATTGATTAGAGGGGTGTAGATGTGCTAAACTGAATTATGAGAGCCACAACTGCTAAACTGAGTTATGTATAAACAGATTATGAAAACTAATTTTGCAAAATTCACCCTTAATACCTGTGAGTCTTCAAAATAGGCCTGTACTAGATAGTAGTGGTATTTAGCAATCAGCAATTTTTCAGTTACTTTTATTTATTTTTGGATGTCAGCTGATTGTCAGGCTTTTCATCTTGATTTCCTAAATAGAGTCAAAAATTGGATGCTGAAATTTTATTGCTCACTATTAAGAATAATTTGACATAAATCATTACTTTTAAAACATGGCAAAATAAATCAAAATAATGACATTTAAGGATAGTCAAATTTTGGTTTAAAATAACCATGGCCTATATAATGGAGAAGAAAAACAATGTTCATTCCTGAGGATAATCAACATTGCAACCCCATAATACTTACCAACATGTGAAGGCCAAACAGTTATATGAGGATGGGAATGATACCAGCCCACAACTCTCATGGGGCGACCTGTTAGTTCAGCCAACCTGTGTGTCGGTCAAGGTATTTTCAAAATGTGGGAACAAAATTCTGATGCTACTAAGGGCTCAGAAAGCACCCTAAAATTTAAAATAAAGCTATTACCATTTAACAACAACAGAAGGATGGATAAAATTGATGCTCAGAATTTCTCAGAATTGCCTAAAGTTTTTTGTAGCTGGGTGTGGTGGCTCCCACCTGTAATCCCAGCACTTGGGAGGCTGAGGCAGGAGGACTGCTGTGAGTTCGAGGCCACCCTGGGCTACATGAGTTCAAGACCATCCTGAACTACACAGCGAGACCCTGTCTCAAAAGAAAAAAAAATTATAACACAAATCTATATGACTTCCAGTATGTATAGTTATGTAATTGGGATTATAACTATGTAAATATATACAGTACTCAATCTAGTTTAGGTAATGTTTGATCATTCAAATGCAGACCACTATTACCTGCAAAGAAGCTTGTCAAAACCTTCAGAAGTCATTTATATTATTGATTTGAGAATCTTCCGTTCTCTTTAACTTCAGTCTAATATCACTTTTGGAAAAGAAATATAGGTTGTTTTGCTCTTTATTTGACTTATTATGTGTTTATCTTTGGTGCTGAGGATTGAACTCAGGGCCTCATAGGTGCTAATCAAGTGCTGTACCACTGAACTATACCCTCAGCTTCAAGAATTTTTAAATTCTTTTTCTTTGACAGGTTCTCAATGTTAATAATAGCAAATAATGTGGTTTCAGAGATCAAATGAGCAAACACCCCGTTTAGTCACCCCATTTGTCTAGAATTATCACCCCAAAGATATTTTCCTCTTTTGTTGTAGAAATCACAATTTTCAATAAGTATCTTAGACTAGAATTTGAGAGTATTATCCAGAGATAAGATAGCTCCCACTAGCCTATAAACGGGTGATTAGTTTTCCTACCAACTACTTCCATTAAAACATAATAATCCTTTTTATAAAACTAAGTCTGAAGAACAGTATTTTTAAATGTATTTTTAAACGCTCAAATGCCAAGAGAAATTACTTCGCTTCCCTTAGCCTATGTCTTCAGTTGCAGACTGAAGGGAATGATCCTTGACACAGCTGTGAAGAGTAAATGAGGTGACCCACACAAGATGTGTGGCCCAGTAAGTGCTAAAGAAATGGTAACTGTGATGTCAAAGTGCAGCAGTGCCTCTTCTCATCACCCCATTCTGAAAATGGACTAGTTCAGTTTGAAGCTACAATATGTAATTCCAGTAATGAACATTTGTCTATAGTTACATCCTGGGAAGCTTATTTGGGAAAGTTTATTTCTGTTTTGTAAATATCAATGAATAGGCCTTTTGCTTTTGGCCATGACGGATTTAAAAAAAAAAGAAATTGGATAACACAGACAAAGCAATAATTTTCAAGGACAAGGGTCATCATGCAAGGAAGGTCACTAGATGGGAAACAAGGTGAGCTCTTGAGAAGACTTCCAGGCCACAGAATAGGGAAGTGTGTTAGTTACCTTTCTTCACTATGACAAAATACCTGAGATAAACAAATGAAAAGGAGGAGATGGCTGGGCATAGTATGCATCCCGTAATCCCAGCACTCTGGTAGGCTAAGCCAGGAGGATTTCAACTTTGAGCCTAGCATGGACAACTTAGCAAGACCTTGTCTCAAAATAAAGGGCTGAGGCTATAGTTCAGTGCAAACATACTAGGTTCAATCTTCAGTACCACAAAAAAATTTTTAAAAAGGATGAAGATTTCTTTTGGCTCATGGGCCCGAGGCAAGGCTAAACATCATGGCAGAGAGCATGTAGTAAGCAAAGTTGCCCTTCTCATGGGAGCCAGGAAGGAGAGAAAGAAGAGAGAGGAGAGAAGAGAGAAGGAGAAAGGGACACAGGGACAGAGGGAGAGAGAGACATGGGTGCCCAGAGTTTAGGATATGACACTGTACTGGTTGGGAGTTTGGGTGGCTGGTGTTTTCATGGCAGAGGGACAGATAGGACAGATCTGAGAGGGAACAAACCCTGAACATCCCCAGTAAGTCCCATTCAGGAACAAAGCAGACCAGCGGTAAGGACAAACATGTGAGGAACCTATCTGGGGCCTGGAAAAGGCAGTGCCCCTCAAGAGGATGAAAGGCAACTGCCCAGTACTCCAGGAGGAGAGTTTAGCAGCGTCCTATCTGACTACCAGGCCGGGGCCTCATCAGCCAGGACCTGAGCAGCGCCCTCAGGAGGGTTTCACCTCAGAGCTGTGGACGTTTCTCCCACACCAAGCACTGCTCTGGTGCCCGCAGCTGACCTTCAAGGCGAGACTCAAAAGGCTCAAACCGTCTCCAAGGCACAGCCAGCACCACAAACACAGCTCAGGCCTGGATCGGTCTAGCACTACAGCAGGACCCAGCCATCAAGGGGAGACAAAGATCAGATTAGTGGTTGCCAGGAGCCAAGGGCAGGGAAGTGGAGGAAGTGGGTATGATTATGAAAAGGAACCAAGAGGGAGATCTTTACAAAAACAACAGCTTTGTGTCTTTATTGTAGTAGTGATTACTGTACCTTCACGTGTGACAAAACAGCACAGAACTATACACAATTGTAGCAACATCAATGTCCTGGTCTTCCTTCGGGGAGACTGGGTTAAAGCCAAAGAACTTCCGGTACTATTTTAATAAGTTCCCGTGAATTTGTAAAGTTTTTTTTAAGATGCAAAAGAGATACACTAGAGATTGCTAAATCTGAGCACATATAAATGTGAAAAAAAAACTTGAGTAGGGAATAACCACACATACTTTAAAATATACTGAAAAAAATCACTATCCTTATTACATAAGGCTAATTTTCTTCATACATAACAGAACCTGTAAGTTATTAAGAAAAAGATTATCAAATCAGCAGAAAAATGAACAAAGGAAGTAAACAGGTAATTCAGAGAAAAATATAAATGACTCTTAAAAATGAAAAGCTGACCAGACTGGCAACATTACAAAACTGTGCTAAGGCAAGAGAGTCCCTTGGGGAGCCACAGTACTGCAGGAGGGGGGCTGTCACATGACCCAGGCCCCAGCTCTGCACACGGATGGAGCCAGAAGCAGAAAAGCTGCCAGGCTACTGCACTTGCAGCTTCTTCTCAAATAAGAGACAGCGTTTGTGGCCAGGCTTATGCTTTCTACCAAGACGACATGTCTGGGATTTAGTAGAACTGGTGCTTGTTCTAGAAGTTGTTACCAAGTCTTTCAAAGCTGCAGTTGGTAAAGATTCATCTGATGAAGAGGTGACTCAGCAACTGAATTCATTTCATTAAGAAGTGATGTGATGAAATATGTGAGAAATAAGATGAGATCAGGCAGGCTCCATTAGAAGAAAGTGCTTTTCCCCCTACACAGCTATAAGATTTTGAGTGGCAGTTAAAGCTTGCACTTTCTAGTGACAAGACTGCTATGTTACAAATGCTGCTTTTAAATCTTCATCTAGATGGAAAATAAAATGAACTAAAACAATATTCTGCTAAAATCAGTAGAGCTGCTTGGAAACAGCTAAGAAGGAGGTCCTATAGTTACAGTAGCGAAAAATGATGAATGCCCACCTTATCAGATTTTATTGCTACAACTGATATGGCAGAGTGGATACTGTGTTTAGAAACCCTGTGATGTACTGACTGTTCCACCAGCTTGAAAAAAGGCAGCAGAGTTGAGACTACAAAGATAAAATCAACACCTGTAAAGAACAGGAAATTACACAAAATGACAGAAGATACGTAAAATGAAAGATGAAAATGCTATAGTAGTAGTATATTTTCATGATTGCCTCCTTTATTAAATATTTGAGAAATCTTTACAGTTTTATTGAAAGCTCAAAAGTAGATTCTAAAGTAAACAGACAGCTGGGCATGGTGGCACGCCAGTAATCTCAGAACTCAGGAGGCTGGGACAGGACAATCACCACTAGTTCGAGGCCAACCTGGACTACATAGTGAGTTCAAGGCCAGCCTGAACTACAAAGTGAGGCTGTGTCTCAAAAAAACAAAAAACAAACAAATAAACAGACAAAGCACAAATATATTTGAATATTGCTTGAAGAATTATGTGAATACCAAAAATATGTATTATGGATATAATTAATTTGTAATATTTTAAAAAACTGTTTAAAAGAATGTATAAACTACATATATAACTCAGGAGATTCCATATCTTATATTTCTAAGGAAAGGTTATGAAATATAAAGTTTCTTAGAGCAAAGCTCTTACCAGACATCAACAAGAAATACTCTATGTTAGTGGTAGTGAACCTACAGCACACATGCTGCAGCAGGCTGTTATTGAAAGCTCTAAAAGCTTTACCATCACCATGTGAACAATTTTGAGTCTATGAATTCTAGAAACTAAAATCTAGGACATGGGAAGTAAAAATAACATTGTTTCTTCTACACGTCCATGTTGATTGGGATAAAAAGACAAAAAGAATAGATGTATGACAAGGGATGCTCTGTTAAAAGAATAGATGTCATAGTATAGTGTTTATATTATTATCAGGTAGGACTATCTATGGGTCCATTTTTTGTTATAAATTTGTTTATTTCAAGGTAATGCAAGTAGATATTAATAAAGAAAAATTTTCTTAAAAAGTCTTACTTCTATTAAAAAAAGCAAAATTTTATAACAAATTAATTAAAGAATAACAGTTAATATACTGTGTACCATCATTTTAAAAGAATGGCCAAAATGTTAGAGTGCAAGTCATAGACAAAAAAGACTCTTACAAAATGGAATCGGACAACAGCACAAGACTTTCTTTGCAATGAACCAAGAGGACCGAGCAGTATAAATGAAACAAATTAGTATATATGTTGAAATACTTTGAAAACCACAGAATATATAATTTGGGGAATTATTAGAACTTCTCCCTACTTCCTATTTCTCTTTTTTCCATGTTTTCTTTAACATTTAATAGAAACTATGGACAATAAATTTTACTGTATTTTACATGAGATAGCCACCACAGAAATTCACATAGATTAGACGGAAGATAGACAGTTAAGGAGGGCCCAGACCCGTGGGATATTTTCTCAGAGCATGAAAGTCAGAGTTCAGTTGGGGAAAAGGGTTCAGACTGCCAGATTAAGTGGATATTAAAAAAGCTAAAATGCAGGGCTTTGGGTAGGTAACCAGACGCTGGGACCACCAATATTTCAAAGGCCCCATTCTTAAACACAGTCCCCATCTAGTCATCTATGTGGCTACTTGACCGTGACTTAGGAAACACCACTCCAAAGATGTCTTTCCCATTAGGCAACATCTCAAAGATTCACTCAGTCCTGGACACAGGGATAACCTCTCCTTCTTGCCCAGAAGAAGAAGAAACCCACAACTTTTGACACTACTGACCCAATCTCCTCAATTTTAGTCCTTATTTCCACTTTCACTTTCTCAGACCACAGAAACAACAAGGCACTCAAACATCTGTGTCCAATTTATTTCACTTGAGTATGGTCTCAAGGTGGATCCATTTAGCTAGAAATGTCTGACGCTCATTCTTCTTTATGGCAGACTAGTATTCCATTGTATAAAAAAACCCCATATCTTCTTTATCCACTTGGTGGTTGATGGGCATTTGGGCTGTTCCCCAGATTTAGCTATTACGAACTGTGCTGCTAGGGCCAGGGGTTTAGCTCAGTGGTCCCACTGCTTGCCTCACAAGCGGAAGATTCCGAGTTCGATCCCTGGTACCCCAAAAAACCAAAACAGAAAACAAACTGTGCTGCTAAAAACACGGGTGTGCATATATCGCCATGGTAGGATGCTTTTAATTCTTTTGGGAAAATACCAAGAAGAGGAATAGCTGGGTCAAATGGAACCTCTAGTTTTAATTTTTTGAGAAATCTCCACACTGATTTCCACAGTGGTTGCACCATATGAATTTTTAATAATGAATTTAAATGTGTGGACGCTAACAATTTATTGGAAAACTAAGGATTTTTAACCTCAACTAACTTTAAAACAAGCATTCTGAACAAATAAAATGCCTTGCTTCTAGGAATTGATTCTACCGATCAGCACACATTTGAAATGCAACCGGGTGTAAGTTTACAAATAGGTTATACAAATAAGTTATGCATCAGTGTGAGGCAGCTCTATATACTGAAGTAGACAAATTTCAAGAGACACTGTTAGTGAAAAGATGGATACCGTATGTGAGAAGGTAAATACGTATTCAGTACTTTTTCAGAGAATATTCATATATGTTTCTATATGTACATAATCCACCTGTAAGGATACATGCAAAACTGATATCCTGGTTTATACCTGGCAAGGGCCAGAGAAGAGCTGGAGCACACAGGTTGGAGAAACACCTATTCCTCTAATACTGCTTGGTACTTCGTAAAATTTCTACTACACATGTGTTCTACCTACTTTTGAAACAGTTTTAGTTGTCTACAAGATTAACCTAATCCAAAAGAACAATGAATGTCTAAAAGCATTGATGTACATTTAACTTGCTATGGGTGAGGTATGGAGTCCAGATCATAGGGAGCACATATCCTATTCGATCACCCTTTGGATTATTTATCATGTAACATTGCATTCATTTCTCAACACTACATTTTTTGAGAGGTCTCAAGAGCAAATCTCCCAAAGGATAGAGACCAAGATAGTGAGTGGCCTAAAAATTAATTTCCTGATTTTAGGAATGGAGAAGGGAGAAGTAGGTGTGGAGGAAAGGGATCCTCACAGTATTTGGCTCTGGGGTCTTTGGGCATTTAGGAGCAGGAATGCTAGAAATTTCCCATTCTTCTGATAAAAGCCATTCAAAGGATAAAGAGGAATTCTGATTAACCAAACAACTGGGTCTAAAGAGTAAATATGAAAACCAGAAAACAATCCCTAGGAAGAAATTTTTTTTTTTTTTTTTTGGCACCAGGGATCGAACTCGGGGCCTTGCACTTACGGGGCCTGTTAGGAAGAAAATTTACAGCAAGCAGATCAGTGTAGCCCAAAAGCCCCAGAGCATGTAAAAGCTTCTTATTGATCAATAAGGATATCTCTGCCTCTGTTGAGGCCGCAGACAGCTGCTCTGGAGAAATTTCTACTCGGTCTTTCCTCTTATCAGAACGTCGCAGGATGATGACAGAATGAATATGAATAATTCTGACGGTGTCAACCTAAAGGAAAATCCACAGAAATGATTACTTCTGTCTCTCGCCAACAACACTTCTTACATCATTATAAGACTGCATTTTACTCGAGTATCAGGTTAAAGATTTCATTTTAGAAAACTGACACTTTTTGCATGAATAATGAAATGTTTCAAATGAAAGAAATTGAAACAAAAATATAAAAGTATTTAGATCAAGGAACACCTTTTTGAATGTTTAATAATTATTCAGTTAACAACTATGTGCAAGATACTGTCACACAAAGGAAATAAATTAGAGGGCTGACAAAGTGTTTAAAACAATAGTGATACAATTAAGGAGCAATCATACATGAAACTATGCTAATAATGTAACAAATCAATGCTAGGGAGCTCACGAGAAAGGAATCATTTAAATTAGACAAAAAACCTTCATAGAAAAGGTATCTATTCATTGACTGGTCTACGTGTGTATGTGTGCTCATAGAATTTCTACAGGTAGGCCAAATGGGTATATGCACTAGTAAAGTATGAATGAAGAATTTGAGAGAAACTGGCTGCCAATTGATTTAGACACAGAGCTTAAGGTGTAACGGCAAATGCTACATCAAAGAAGGAAAGCTGGAGTGAGAATGTACAAGATACCTAGTAACAAGCTGTGATTTGCAGGATGAACTGGAAGGAAATTATTTCAGATAATCTATACATGAAATAATGATAAAGTACTGGAGTAAGCAGATAATAGGGACAAAAGAAACAGATTTGAGACCCATTAAAAAGGAAGAATCAAGATTTGGTGGCTTATGAACCATGAGTGACACAGGGCAAAGAATCGTTAATGATGACTCTCAAGTTTAAAGGCTCCGACTAGATGGGACAAAGGAGGGAGATCTAAGCTTAGAAATGGTCAGAAGATAGAGAGATGGGCCGGGGATTTAGCTCAGTGGTGTGGTACCTGTCTCGCAAGCACAAGCACAAGCGCAAGGTCCTGAATTCAATCCCAGAACCACACACACACACAAAAAGAAGATAGAGAGATGAGCTCACTTTCAGATGAGATGATCTGGGATGAGAGGATGTACGATATGGCCGTGATTAACAGGCAGGTGGGGGAATCAATAAAATTGTATGAGTGAACAAAAAAGGTGGGAGAAAGAGAGCAGAGGCCTGAATCAAAAGGGATACCAATATTTTTGATAGGCTAGAAAAGGGAATAGGTAGGAAGACAGAAAAGGCAAAACCAGAAGAGTGCAATAGTCAAGAGTTTCAGGGGAGAGGATGGGTTTGCACAGTGAGACACTGAAGGGACAAGGATGAAAACCACACCATGCAACACAAGAGCCGTTAGGCACATGTGGCTACTGAGCCCCTGAAATGTAGCAAGTCTGATTTCAGATGTACCACAATCAAGGGATGTGATCAAAACCTATGATAAATGTTTAGAAAATATTTTCCAAAACATATATTACAGTAAAAGACATATTTGCCATGAGTCGCCCTCAAAATACTCCCTCTTGCTTCAAACATACTGATCCCATGGTTCTTGCCACTTTCTGAAGCAGTTCTGGAGTCCTCTTTCCTTGGTATCATAACTTGCACTGTCATGGCTGCCTCAATTTCCTGAATTATTCCAAAATATTTACCTTTCATGGTCATTTTGGGGAAGCGGCTAAAGTCACAAGGTGCCAGATGCAATGAGCAAGGGTGGTGACAACATACCATGTTTTTATTTGACAAAAATTGCCATAAATGGTTGATCAACAAGGAGTATCATAAAACAGGGTGAATGTTTAAATAAGTTCTTTTCAAATCTAAACATTCATCGTGTTTTTATCACCCGTTGTATAAATCTGTCTTAGGGATGGAACCCAAGGCATTATGCATGCTAGGCAAGCGCTCTAGCACTGAGCTACATCCTCAGCCCAAGATTATATTTCTAATGGACAAAGATTTTATCTATTTTCGGCATTCTGCTACAAATAGATAAGCAAAGATTTTATTTATATATTCATCTTGCAATTTTAACTTTTTCAAACAAGAAAGCTATCTAACCAATTCAGCTCTTCAATTTCTAATCTTGTAGAGATTTAATGAAATCATAGAACTGTTTTTCAAAACAAGGGAACCTTAGGGCCGGGGATTTAGCTCAGTGGTTCCACCGTCTGCCTCGCAAGTGCAAGGTCCGGAGTTTGATTCCCGGTACCAAAAAAAACCAAAAAACAAAAAACAAGGGAGCCTTTGATACTAAATGCTGGCTACTTTTATAATCAAATTTCCACTTTCTAGAATAAACAAAAAGTTCTCAAGTGATGTCCTGTGGAAAAGCATGTATGAGTACCTTCAGATAGATGTCTGTCTGGCATTATTCGGCCGCTTGAAGTTCCCTAGACACCACACCTTCTCGCATCCTGTCCCTTCTGCCTACAAGGTGCTTCCCAGCCTTTTTGTTTCTTTGGTAATGGGGATCAAACTTGGGTCCTTGCGCTCGCGCAGCAGGCGGCGAAACCACTGAGCTAAATCCCCGGCCCTGCCTTTTTTTTTTTTTTTTACATGGTGGACTCTTTCATATCCTTTAAATTTCCTGATTATCCTGTCAAAACTAATCATTTTCTTCCGCATATGACTTCTTTTATAATACCCACTCACTTATAACTGTTTTAGAATACATATTGTGTTCTACTTATTTCACACAATTTTCTCCTGTACTAAAATGTAAGCTCCTTAAGAGCAGGGACTTTGTTATATCTATATTTTTATTGCCAGCCACCAGTACAATGTCTGACAGGCATCAAAAAATCAATAAATAAAATCAAAAGCAGGATGGAAATATGCATAACCCTTCAAGGAAAGACAAACAGCTGGCTTTTCAACTGAAACAATTCAAGCCCAGAGAATGAGATGCTAAAAGAATATCTGCCAACCAAGAATTCTATATTGAAACAATATATCCTTCAAAAGTTAAGGCAAATTAAGGCAAAATAAAGAGATTTTCAGATGCACAATGGAGGAAATTCATTATCAGCAAAGAAATCTCTCTAGAGAGTGTCCCCCTGCCCCACCGGGGATTGAACTCGAGACCCTGCGCTTGCCAGGCAGGTGCAGCTCCACTGAGCTACATCCCCAGCCCTTAGAGGGAGTTGTTTAGGCAAATGAAAAATCCCAAAACTGCATAAAACTTAACAGTGTGTGTTCGATCCCTGGTACAAAAAAGAAAACCCGAAAAAACCAGTGTCATGTGAGGCTTAAAATAACCATAGAATTAAAATATATGTCAACAATAACCCAAAAGGTGGGAGGGAATAAATGAAAACAAAATGTTCTAATGTTCCAGTATAGATGGTCCCCAACTTTATCACAGTGTAAAAGCAATATGTATTCAGCAGAAACTATACTTTGAATTTTGATCTTTTCCCAGATTAGTGATCTATGATATGTGATATGATACTCTCTCACAATCCTGGATAGCAGCAGTGAGCTGCAGTTCAGTTATCCACATGTTCATGAAGGGAAACAAGCAATATTTTACAGTGTTCTGTCTGTCTTGCTAAACTATGTTTGGTGGTTTGGGAATACTAAATGCATTTTTGGCTTACAAAATTTTCAGTCCACTATCCCAGTACTAAACCCACTGGGTTTATTGGGACATAACCAAATTATAAGTTGAAGAGCATCTGCATTATTGAGGAAATGGTAACTATAGCCATTTGTATCAGACTGTAATAAATCAAGAACTGATATTATAATATGTAGGATAGCCACTAAGAGGACAGTAAAAGAATGTTATAACTGGGCGGGGGATTTAGCTCAGTGGTTTCGCCGCCTGCCTCGCAAGCACAAGGACCCGAGTTCAATCCCCGGTACCAAGAAAAAAAAAATAGAGTGGAAAAGCAGACAGAAAAAAAGCCAAAGTAGGCTAAGAACCATGCTAATATGGATAGTTTGTGTTCAAGAAGAGAAGGCCTACATGAGTAGCTGCTGAGACTCAGGATAAAGAGTGACAACACAGCGAACCAGATGCCAAAGCCTCAAGGAGAGGGAGAGAAGGGTCCGCAACAGGCAATGGGGGATGCCGGAGAGAGTGGTACTGATAGTGATTACTCATTTTGATCAAGTAGACAACTGCTAAAAAGAACAGAAAATTAGATCCCATTCCTACTGGGTAGATTTCTTTTCTGATTCTATTGGAAAGAACACCCTACCCAGCCACAGACTGGATTGATAATCAGAGTAGAAACCCCTCCCCAGCTGCAAGTTGCCATCACGCAGAATTCCAGCACACATACCTTTTCAGCAACTGTGCCCATTTCAGTTCCAGTATACGCAAATTTGGAGTCAGTCCTATTGGGGATAAAGTAGGAGGGAAAGAACTTGGTTTTGGAATAGGAAAAGGAGTTAAGGCAAAATAACCAGATCAACAGTTTTTGCAATGATAGTTTAACAGAAGCAAAAGAGGAGGGAAAGTGAACTGAGGCTAGAGCTGCTAGACAGGACTTCTGAGTATTACAGAGGTCTGTTGAGAAATACAGTAAGTTGTGCTTTGAAATTTAAGTAAAAGTTACCCAAAGGGTTTGCCCTCAAGCATTCAAGCTACTAGGGATCTCTGGGATCACATAGGGCCCACCAAGGGAGAAGGCAGAAAGCCACTATTTAGAGAGAGGAGTGGATCAACAGGGGAAAAAGCCTCTGAATGTATACATTATCTGCCACAATGAAAATTATTGGTATCTCACTGACATTTCAGGGGAGAGAGAACATAAAACACATCAAGCAAGAAAATGAAAAATAATGTAAAACATATTGGTAGTCTTTTCAACACGCTGCCTTTATTTCTGTCAATAAAATTCTATTTCTAAGAGACTTAACAGGTTCACTTATGGTCCTGTTACCCCTTAATCATATTTTTCACATAAGGTCATATATACCTCAGGTGAAATTCCTCCTACTAAAAAGGCAGAAATAAACCTTCAAGGTTGGGGTGGAACTCAAACTATAGACCTGAGGGTGTTCTGAAGTCGCACTGGTAATTTAACACAGAATCCACACACAACGGTACCAAACGTCATAACTTTGAGTTAACAATGATTTAGAAATCACAGGATCTGAGTAAATATATAGTCTTACCTTGTGTCGTCATTCAACTAGAGTGGGAAGGAACAGAAAACATTATTGATCACATTACGCTTATTTGACTACGGGAATGCAGATTATACAAAAATTAGGTCATATGTTCACTGACACCGGAATTAAAGACTGGAGAATTTTTAGATTGTAAATAGCTACACTGTATTTCCTCATCCACTTTCGTCCCTCTGCAACGCAACGAAGTGGAAACTTTCATGTCCATAAAAACCCTTCTTGTCTCTTGGAACCTCTGCTAAGCTTTCAAACGCTTTATGGCCACCTCTGCTTCCCTAGAGCCAAGGGGGAGGCTCTAGTCTAACGTCGCGGCTTCTTCATACCTCGATGTCCTTATTCTACCACAACTGCTCTCTGCCCTGACTTGTACCCCACTTAGTCAGTGGGGTGGTAACCTCAGCAGCAAGGCTCTCCGTGGGTTTCTGCAGATCGCTGGAGGCGTGCGAGAGGATAAGCGAGGGGCGGGAGGGGGGAGCAGGGGAAAGGGCCCCACAAAAAAGCCATCCAGAGAATGGGCAAGGATCGAGGTGGGAGGTTCCTGTGGCCTCCCAGCCGCCCCGGGGACCACTGGGGACTGCTCAGTGGGCTTCCAGCCAGGCCGACCTACTCACCTCCCCTATACACAGCCCCATCACCTCCTCCTTTTCTGTGCTCAGGGCATGGTTGAGACAAACTAGGAAAGCGTCAGATTCCAGATGAACCGCCTGCACCGCCTGCACCACCTGCACCGCCATCTTGCTCCGACCTAGCTCACGTCCTCCTCGGGCCCACTTCGGCCTGACCAACCGGGTGCTCCGGCGCCGCTTCCCTTGCACCCCGCGCTCCGCCCAGGCCGGGCCTGCCCCTCCGGTTCCGCAGGGGCGGGGGCGGGGGCGGGGGCGGGGCCCGGGGCGGGGGCGCGGCCCGCCCAGCAGCACCTGGAAAGCTCCCGCGCCGGTTGGGGCAGGCGTGGCGGTCGCGGTGGAGGTCCTTGGCGGGCGGAGGTCCGAGCGGCAGCCGGGCGGCGGGGGCGGCGGGGAGGCGGGGAGGCGGGGAGGTGGGGAGGCGGGGAGGCGGGGAGGCGGCGAGGTTGGCCTGCGCCGAGGAAGACAGTCTGTGAGCGGCGCCCGGGCGCCCGGGCAGGCGCCTCCTGAGCGACGTCGCCCATTTTGCCCGCCCGCTGAAGAGAGCTGTGCGCGGCCTACGCTCTTGGGGGACAGCCCTTTGAGGCGACGTCGCCGCGAATGCCGGCCTCTCGAGCCAGGGGATCGCTCTGTTGAAAGTCGGTCCCAAAACAGTTAAGGTTTTATTTCTTTTGTTTTATTTTAAGTCACAGCCCCTGAGTCTCGTACAACTCTCCCTGGATCACTTCCGGTTGCCGGCCCGCGTCTAGCAACTTCGGTTCTGGTGACCTCGGCCCGGGCTGCCCCTCGGCTTGCCCCGGGCTCCTGTCGCGATCTGGCTCGAGCGGCTCGGGGTGGGAGGCCTGGAAGCGTTAGCCTAGCTGTTCTCGAGGCGGAGTAATTAGCCCAAGAAACATTATATTCATGTGAGTAACCTTTTGGAGAAACACCGCTATACTGAATCTGAAAAAGTATCACTCGAGCTTAGAGCTTAGCTACTGCTGCTCTCTAGCAGGGCTTTTAGTTACCCATTTGTTTGGTACAAGGAAGGGGAGTTGGGGGACTTCCGTTTTGAAAGTTCAGGTGCTTCACATCTGCTATCCAGAAGAGTTTGCTCAGCTCTTTTTCTCTTGATGCTGTCAGACATGGTGAAATTGTATGTAAAAGTAATTTTATTTAAGGTATGTCAACGTACCAAGGCTTAAACATAACAGAGCTCCCAATTCACAAGTTGATGAATTCCACGAGAATTTTAGGAGCGAATCCTAAATCAGACAAAAATGTATGCCATGCTGCCTCCACAACCCATCCGCGTTTGTCTCTTTGTTTTTCTATTCCCTGTGTAGTTTTGAAGCCAGGCATATATGGCAGTACTGGAAAGGGAACATTCCCTAGGTGCTCATTGAAGTGTTGATGCTTTGCTCTTTTCTCCCAAGTCAGTTCCAACCCAAGTCTCCCAACAAATAGGGCCTCAAATCCAGTGGAACTATTTGTAATGTATATGCCAGCAACCTCTTTTTTTACCTAATGCTTAAGGATCACATGGCACATCTTTCCATGATTAAGTTTGGTAATGATGAAGGCTGGACATTTTTCAAATGTACATGGGACCTATCTGTAATGATCTCTTAAGTTTTGATTTTATGTCACATTTTATTTTCAGTTACTGCTCATGGCTACTGTGCCCTTTTGTTATATTTCAAATTTATAAAGTTCCTTTAGACACCTTCAAGAAGAAAAACACCTTTTGTTTATTGTTGATGTTAGTTAATCTCATATTCCAGAATGACATTCACTTTTATAATGCTAATGGCTACCTTTTTACAAGTCCAAACATTTACTTGGAGGAGGAAAAAAACTGTAGCATTTATAGCAAACTTATTATGTGATAGACAGTCTCATCCAGTGTGTGGAAACTGACCCAGTTGGACTCAGGCTCTGCAACTTCCTAGCTTAGTTACCATATGCAAATTGTCTCACCTCCTTGCACCTTGCTTTCTTCACCTTTAAGTGTGATACTAATAGTGCCCACCTAATAGCACCCCATGAGACCATGCATATTAAATGACTTGATGTCTGTAAACATATGGAAAGCCTTCGTAAGTACCATTATGATTAATATGTCCTTTAATTCTCATTTTATGCCTCAGGAAACGTGAGGTAGACAAAAGTGAACTTCCAAGGTCACAAAGCTCGTAAGTGGTAGAATCAGGATGCATAAGTAGGCCAGACTGATTCCAGGGCCCATGTTGTTGGCAACTTTACCCTTTGTAATTGGAGGAATTTACTAAATGACTTCAAATAAAGTAAGTGTATTCAGCTGATCAATGTTTAAAAACTGTTCAAATACCTGGAAATTAAAGCAAATCATACTTTTTTTTAAAGACAAAATAATTCATTTGATAAAGGAAAAACGTTGGTTTTCTTAGTAATCTATGAAATCTTGTTACATGTCATCCACTTAGAACCTAATTTTCAAAATGCCTAAAAAGAATTTGTGCCAATATGGTCTCTGGCGTCAAGGTGACCCCCATAGGGACAATCTCTTTTAGTGGATGATACAGCTGTAAAGTTATCTAAACATTTTTTGCAGTCTATCTGTATTTGCAGCTGGTAATATTCTTTGAATTGCACAGGTTTATATTTTGTGTATAGTATTGCACTTTGTACCTAAGTTTATCTTGAGGTTTTAAGAGACCCATTTTACTTCGAGGCGTCCTGAATTTTGTGGACAAGTGTTATATGCAAAAAAAAAATGTTCTCTGGTCGAATAAATTTAGGAAATGTTAAACAACACAAAGTTTCTTTACTGCATAACTTTCCAGAACTTTTAATATGCTAATATGCTTGATAACTCAACATTTCCAAACTTATTTGACCAAGGAAAATATTGGGAGCAAGTGCTCTGTGAATCACATTTAGGGAAATGGTGTCCCATTCAACCTGTGGCTTTGAGAGACTTTGAATCCATCTTGCTCAGCCTTTGCTTTTCTCTGCTGAGGATGTGGTTAGTCAACAACGTTCACGTGGTGATTTGTCTGCCCCTTGATCACTGCAGTTCTCCTCCCTAGGCCTTCATGCTGTGTGAATGGTACCCAAGTCCAGAGGGCGCTGAGGGTTGTCCCCAGGCTCATCTTACTGAGGACAACATGTTAACCTTTGGGGTAGAGCAGCACATACCACTGCCCTTCTGAGAATATTTTGTAGTGATTCATAGGAACTCCAAACATTATCTCCAGTCTGTCTGCCCTGTCTTCTGCTTGAATTATTTCATTTTAATAATATCAGTATAAAGAATGAAAGAATAAAGTTTTGTTTTTATTCAAAAGCAATTTAAATATCAACATGATGATTGTTGCTAGGACCTATGTATAAATTTGAAATGGTCCTGAAACCCTTAATGCTTGGCTTCTACTTTTTTAAAAAAAATTGCTGGCTACAACTATGCCTTTTGTGCTCAGATTCAATATATTTATTTGATATAACTAATTTGATATAAACTAATTTAGTATAAATTTATATATTAATACATAACTTGACATACTAATATATTTCCCATATTAATTTATTTTCATATATTTACTGGATTTTTGTTTGGATCACTTCTTTCCAAAGCTCTGGGGAGAAGGGAAGGTAGAACAATGATATCCGCTAAATAGAAAAAATGGCTTAAAATAATGAGCCTGAAATGAGTATTTGGGGGAAGTTTGCTGGTTCTTGCTGGAATTGGTGAGAGATAGGATGTAGCAACTGAAGAAAGAGAAGAAACCCACAGTAACTTCTAAATTTTGAGTGTGTAAAATCAGAAGAGGCGTTGGTTAAGGATGAGTTTGAAATGAGAGCATATCCGTGTGAAAGCAGGTGCCAATGCCAGGCTTAGAGTCACAGCTACTCAAGGCAGAATAGGTGAAGCAAATGTGATGCTTTTAAATTATTCACCAAATCAGTTCACTTCTTAAGTCTGTAAGAGTTTTGTTTTGTTTTTTCTACTTTCCTTTTAGGAAAGCCAAACTGGTTACAAAAAATATCAGACTCAGGTAGTTATCCTTGAAAAAAAAGGACTTGTTTTGCTTGATTTATATCTCTGGCTTTTTCTTATTCTATCTCCTGGTTAGGCCATCTGGTTTGCTCTGCACAGTCTCACTTCGAAGGATTCTACCAACCTCCTGAGCTATGCTGTATTCTCTTTCCCACTCAGTGGCTACCTGATGAGAATAGGAGGCCTGTGTTTTGTGAGACAAATCCCCCATGCCACAAACAAGAGGCGTGTTTGTCTCTTTGAAAGGTAGAAATATGTGAAACTGCAGGGCCATGAGCAGAGTCCAAAAGATTCATTCATGAAAAGTACATGTTAAGTTATTGTGAGGTCCTGAAATGAGTTTCAGGGCTGAGTAGAGGTGTGCTTCCTTTACACCTCTCAAAGTGCAGAGGGGCTTTTCTGGCTTAGGAAATAAAAATTTAAACCTATGTCTGTATGGGAAAATGAGCTCCTACAACATCCTGCAGCATTATTAAAATGAAACAAAGATCTAGATGAATAATTATCATTGGCTCTCACACAGTTTAAAATCACCATGATCCCCACAGTTGCTTGTAGCTCAGAAATTCCATGAAGTTGCCCTAAATATTTTTCCTAACATAAAAATCCCCTTTTGGAAATGTCTTGTTACTATAAGTAACCTTTCTTAGTAGACTGATAAACTCTTAATTTCAGTTTAGAAAACCATGCAGATGACTCAATCTTTTTAAAAAATAGAAACTGCTTGGAAGTGGCTTTTCCCTGGGGAATATGGCGTGCATGTGTCTGTTTTATTGCCTTCTTGACAAAATAATGTGCTCTTAGGCATGCTCTTGTGCATTTTCTATCACTAACTATATTTTGCCAGACACTGTTTTGTGAATGCAAAGAATGGGTGAGACCAGTGCCCAGCGTCTTGTAGTGCTCCTTCTATACGCCCACAGAACTTATCTAGAGTCCTTGAGTGTTTTGTAGCCAATAGCATTACCTTGAGGCTCTGCCTGAGTATCACTCATTGTCACTTTCAGCCTTGCAGAAAGCAGATGTCCTTGGTTCTAATCAGGCTATGCAAATAGACATGTATGAGTTTTGGTTCTTGCTAGTCCCAAGTCACCTTGCTCAGTGGTGAGTTCATCCAAACCCAGAAAGTCACACCTGTGTCCTGTGCACGGGTGCTGCAGGCTTAGGTGGAGAAAAGCAGGGATAAAGTTGGAACCCAAAGCCCAGAATGGCAGGAGAGGATGTGGGGGCTCCACCCGATCACCTCTGGGTTCACCAAGAGGGTATCTACCGCGACGAATACCAGCGCACATGGGTGGCCGTCGTGGAAGAGGTAACTTTTCATTTTACTTATTTCCTTGCTTTTGCTTTCATGTAACTTGATTCCTATCCAGTCTCAATATTCTGAAGTCTTTGGTTTCATTTTTGATCATGCTTTCCCATTAGGAGACGAGTTTCCTAAGGGCACGAGTCCAGCAAGTTCAGGTTCCCTTAGGTGACGCAGCCAGGCCAAGTCACCTTCTTACCTCCCAGCTACCTCTTATGTGGCAACTCTACCCAGAGGAGCGCTACATGGATAACAACTCTCGCTTGTGGCAGATACAGCATCATTTAATGGTACACATGTTGCTTAATCATTTCCCATTGTATTTTGACTCCTGTAACAGAGTACTCTATAAACTTTTATTTTTCTGACAGGTCAGGGGAGTACAGGAGCTGTTGCTTAAGCTTTTGCCTGATGATTAACCTGGTATGTATTTCTATTTCTCCTCTTTCCTCCCCTTCTTCATTTTCACTCTATTCAGTTGTGGTGATTTTAATGATTTTTTTTTCCAGGTGCTGGGATTCTAGGAAGATATGCTCCTCTGTTCTGTTCAGTATATGGCAATCTCTTCATCCACCTCTGCAGTGCACCCACTCTTGGGCCTGGGGGGAGGGAGTGGGTTGAAAACTGCTCGAGAACACAGACGTTTAGGAAGGGTCATGAAGAACACTGCAAGTGACACTGAAGAGAGAGAGTTACACGGGCAGAAAGTGAGTCAACAAAAGCACTTAGTCAGGACACATAACTTGAAGTTGACTCCTTTGGAAATTGCCATAGAACCTTTAATGGACATCACCGGCTGGAACTGGGGTCTGATGAATCCCACAAAAGTCAGCACGTGCTACAGAACAGATGCCCTGATCACCAAGGACTTGGTACTGATTTAGAGAGAAGAGAGCAGCTCCTAGCAGCATCAACATCTATTTGTCATTTATTTGCCCTACAGAAATTCACCTGCCTTTCCTTCTCCCACCCTGTAAATATCCTAGGTTTTGCTCCAGTGTTTCCCATCCCAGTACTGACCTAATTTGGATCTATTGAGAAATTTAGAGGGTTCTCAGAGGGAAAGAGTTATTTGTATTGATGAAATTAGTTACAAAGACTCCTAGGCCTCTTTTCTTCCTGAAAATGTGTCTTCAGATTATTAGAAGTTGCTGATCAAAATTGTGGGCACTTAAATTTCTTCTCTGGTAACAATACTTCAAATAATCTGGTTTTCATAAGCGCTCCAAAAATTATTTTAGCTGCTTAGCTGGCACCTTTCTCAGGAAGTAATAGCACCAAATATTGTTGATTCCTAGGAAAGCATTTGCTACCTATGTAAAGGATTTTCTGAGTTAACCGTAACAGTTTATATACATTAAAGTAAGGTTTTACTTTTTAAAACAAGTTTTGAACTAGGCATGGTAACCTGTAGTCCTAGCTACGGGAGGCTGAAGTAGGAGTATTGCTTGAGCGCACAGTTCAGGGCCAGCCTAACGTACATAGTGATACCTCATTTTAAAAATGTCTTGAGAATAACAGCTACCATGTATTGAGTCCTTACTGCCTTCCAGGCACTGTACTACGCACATTACTTTTTCACATTTAGTCCTATCAAGGCTTTGAGGTAGGTATGATTCCCATTTTATATACAAATGGTAAAGAAAAAGGCTCAAGGAATTGAGTCACATACTGTGTTTCTTCATGAATCATAGAGCTGGATAGTAGGCCAGGCTCCATGAGCAGCAACATCAGTTCCTGTAGGCAAACATTGCTTTACAGTGTTCAAGATGAGTAGATTGAATTTAAGGGTTTTTGTCTCGTGTAAATCTATATCTTCCAAACTTAATGAAATGGATATTATGAAAATATAATTGGTTCATCATATAAATGGGAAGAATATTTTTAGTGTAATTATTTTCCAGCATTTATAAGGGTATACTACTTGTCTCAGAAGAAAATTCCATGCAGTGGGGCTTTACAGTGTTTATGAAAAAAAGTAAAATAATCATTTTTCTTGTTTTAGATTTCTGGATATGCCACAAAAGGATCCGTGCCAGAAACAAGCCTGTGAAATACAGAAATGTTTACAAGGTAGTATGTAACTTGCTTTTTAAGTATTTTTCAACTTTACCTGTGAACTAACTATAAAAGGCTAATTATTCTTTTATCAGCAGCCTACATTAACACTTCTCAGACTGTACTATTTCTGTGTAACAGTAAAGATAGAGATAAAAAGTAATTCGATCTAAGCCAGAGGTTTTCCACCTTGGTTGTAATTAGAATCACCTGGAAAGTGTTGCCTAGAACAAGTAAATCATTTCCTAGGGCTAGTGTCTGGGTAGGAATCATTCTGGAAAGCTAATGATTTCATTGTATAGCCAAGTTGAGAATTACTGAACTGAGCAAGTCGTTTTATAAAAAGACTAGTTTTAAAATTAGCCTTTTGGGGCTGGGGATGCAGCTCCTTGGTAAAGTAATTACTCAGCATGCTCAAGGCCCTGGATTTGATCCCCAGCACTGCCAAAACCAAACAAAAAAACTAGTCTTCACTGCAGCTGACAACTTACTTTTTAAAAGGAATCTGGCAGGAGGGGGTTGAAAATACAAGTGGAATTCAGTTACCACAGTCAGCAACTAACTCTTAATAGAAAAAGTAAACTTCAGCTAAAGTATATTGATGTGATTTGTCCATGAGGCTTTAAATCAGCTATGTTTGACCAAATATTAGATTATTTTTTAATCAGCAAGTGATTACTGCCAGAAAAGCAAATAACAAAAGCTATAATGCTATGTGAAAAGTGGATTTTTGTGCATTTTTCTATTATGAAAGTAATAGAGGTGGATGCTCATGAAAATATAGAAAGATGTGAAGGAAAAATGGTCAAGCCTTTGTGTATTTCATTTGATGTAACTTTTATTCTTGGTTCATTTTTATGATATAAACATTATTTTATAGAATCTTTTATTCTAAAATATTATTGTAGAATACTAATTCAGCTTTACTCTTCTCTTTAAGAAAAAGGAAAAAAATTGCATTTAATTCTAAGTAAAAACTTATTTTATTTGAAGTAGCAACTGACAGCTAAAGGAGAATAAATCAAATTAAAAAGAGTTGGTACATTGCGCTGGGGATTTAGCTCAGTGGTTTCACCACCTGCTGCACAAGCGCAAGGACCCGCGTTCAATCCCTGGTACGAAAACAAAACAAAACAAAACAAAAGAGTTGGCACAGTGTGAAAGGTTTGAGCTGGAAAGACTACTTACTAGGTGACAAAGGCATTACTCATTTAATCTTTTTATCCATGAGGTAGAAGCTACTGTGACCACCATTTTATAGACACAGGTTATATACTGTAACTTGTCAGACTTCCGTAACTATTGAGAGGAATGGCTAGTTCCCACGCACCCTCTCAGATCACCTGGGATCTGCTGCAGATGTTTTCTATAAAGGGCCAAGCAGGTGATATTTTAAGCTATGGAGGTTGTAAGGTCTTTGTTGTATATTCTGTTTATAAAAAACAATTATTTTACATGTGTGGACTATGTGCATTTTTCTAATTCATCAAATTACCAAAAGGGATCAGTGACCCCCTTTAAAAAGGAATGTAAGATGGGCCGGGATTTAGCTCAGTGGCACTGTGCCCACCTTGCAAGTACAAAGTCCTGAGTTCAGTCCCCAGGACTAGGGTGGGGAGGGGCACATAAGAGGGGCCAAGGATGTAGCTCAGCAGTGCTGTGCCTGCCTGGCAGGCGCAAGGTCCTGAGTTCAATTTCCGGTATCAGGGAAAATAAAAAGGCACATTAGCTATTAACTTGACCTTAAAAGAAAATGAAATTATATATTAAAATAGTTTTCAACTACTTTGTAAATTATACTTTTCTTCCTAATTGACCTGTTGACAGGTCTCTAAATGAGAAAGAATCCAATGGACTTGAGTATATCTACAGTACTTGCTTCATTTCATATGTACTGGAAGTGAAAAGGGGTGAAAAGTGCTGATCTAAACCTCACTGTACACTCTCTCTTAGCCTGAAGAGATCATGACTAGGGTCTGCCTGTTTTTCAGCCAACAATTACATGGAATCAAAGTGTCAGGCTGTCATTCAAGAACTGCGTAAGTGTTGTGCTCGATATCCCAAGGGAAGATCTCCTGTCTGTTCAGGATTTGAAAAAGAAGAGGAAGAAAAGCTTGCATTGAAGTCTGCATCAAAGTAAAGTTCTGCTGAGAAGTTAAATGCTTCTTAATTTCCACCAAGAACACTTCGTTTATCCTGACTTCTTTCAGGTCAGGTAGCAGCAAATGGCAAATGAAAAAATCAACTACAAGAGTTAATGAATATGCCATCTATGCAGAATAGACAGAAACAGAAATGTATTTAAAAGAAAAATATGTAGAATGTAAAAATTGAGCTGCTAAAATAAAGCTGTTTAAGTGAAGATTTTTAGTTTGGTGCTCAGTGTATTTTAAGGCTGTTAGAACTATTAATGAATTCTCTTTTGCACTTTGAGTTCACCACTAGTGCCACTCATAAACCTTAAGTCATAAGAGGCATGGTAGGTGAAGAGGCGTGTCTTCTTTCCTAGATTACAAGCTAAATTAGTTCAAAACTTCTTTAGCCTAACTCCATACCTGTTGTACTTCCAGTAATGCAAAGTATCCTTCCGGGTGCCCATAGGCACATTTCTTTCTGCTTTACATTCCCACCACAGTACCTAGCCAGAAGTTGCTTAATTTTTTTCAGTCAGTGGTAAGAAAGGCATACAAATGATTCTTGTAATGTTTGGTGATCCCTTACTGTAAAGGAACATTTGACTGGAAGTCACGTAGGTAAAAATAGAATGAAATGTTAAGTGGTTTATCTATTCTTTTTTTTTTTTTGTACCAGGGATCAAACTCAGGACCTTGCACTTGCGAGGCAGGCGCGGAGCCACTGAGCTAAATCCCTGCCTGATTTATCTATTCTGTATGTCCTTATAATCAAAAGCTGTTACACCAGATCCAGATATTAATACAGAGCTGCTGAGGGAAGCCTATGGCAATTTGCAGCTACTTTATGGCCATTTGCTTTCCTCCAGTAGGTACTAGATCCACTACTGTCCCTCCTCCCCAAAAGAAAAAGATGACTTTCGAGTGAATGAACGATGCCTTTCTAAAAGATGATTATCAGAATAAAAGCAGGAACAATTCTAAGTCCTTGATGTCCAAATACCATTATTGTTTGAGGCAGTATTCCCCAGTGTTTCTAGGAATGGTTTAAATAGGGGGAAAAAAAGGTTTCTGTGGCCAGGTACTTGGGGAGTGCTGGGCTAGACACAAGTAAACAGGTTACTTTCCTGTCATGCTTTAGGTTTTTTGGGTGCTGATGTAAATGATGATTCTTTGGAAAGGAGAATTATATTGCCAAGTGAACCTGTTTTTGTCGAAAAGAATTTCTTTGTTCTCCTGAGACTTGGAGAAATACTGCCTTGGGGACCTTGGTCCACAAACCAGAAATAACAGTGCTAAATTCTCATGAAATAATTTAAATGAACCCTGGTGTTGATAGTAAAACAATTTAATAAGGTGTTTTACAACCATGTTTATATCAACTCTGAATCTAAATTACTTAAAATTATTAGATAGTGGTGGGATTTGCATTAGAATTATAAAATCAAGTAGGTTATTTTTCTGTTTTATTACAAAATTATTTTTACTGAGTTTTTTTCAGGCAGCTTTAAGTATTTTTTTCCTAAGGTACAGACTTCAAGTTGAAAAGCTTCAAATCAATTGTTCCTTCCTTTAAACTGTCCTAAGTTAACAGATCTCTTGGAAGACATTTGTCTAAATCTTATTCTCTTTAGCTATTATAATCTACAGAAAAATAAGACAGCTATCACAGAAGGCTAACATTTGCCAAGTGCCTTTTATTTGATAGGGATTGAGATTAGCACTGAAACTCAGTCTTCAAGAAAGAACTCAACAGGTGAGAAGTTATGCTCGCATCCATTTTATCTTATTTATTTTTTTGTTTTGAGACAGGGTCTCACTATGCAATTTAGGCTGGCCTTAAACTTGTGGTGATCCTCCTGCCTCAGCCTCCTGAGTGATGGGATTACAGGCATGCGCCACCACACCAGGCATTCATCCCCCATTTTAGAGCAGAGAAATGAAGCTGATAATTTGGTAGAGGGAGCAGAGGGTAGTATTCTAATTTTCCTACAGGGCTGGAATTTCAGATGATCCCAAACACTGATGATACTCAGAAATTTTAAATCCATCCTTATACCATTTTTCCAAGCAGAGATTTATGGCATTTTCCAAAACTGTACAAAAGTAAAACTTTCAAATTAAGAGCTCAGTTGCTAGTTAGGCCCACCTTTCTGGCAAATGTCAAAAGGATAATAGAACATTCTTACAATAGTCAATATGCAGAACTCTTTGGGAACCACAAGCACCCGGCCCAAGAGCACATTAGCTGGAATCATGTAGAGTTCATTCCTTGCAGAATCCAATCCTCCTACTAGAATCACATCTGGTCTCCTGCTAGAATCTGTAAGGCAGTAACTGCCTGAATCAGGCAACAAGGGCTCTCCCCCAAGGGACGGGCTGAGCAAACAAGGGGCCACCTGAGTGGAGGAATTTGGTTAGCAGCACAATGACAGTGGCATTCATAAGGAGCTCAGGGTCAGCAATGAGGACACTGAGTCTTGGAGAAACTGGAAACACGCGTCCATCTACTGATGCCTAGCAGGAAAGGCAACTGCTCCTGCACACTGTCCTCACTGCTGGGTCGCAAGGGAGAACTTCAACAGATTCATCTAACCCCACTGCTAGCACAAAGGGTTGCCCAGAGTGGCCAGCATGCAAGGTGGAGCCTCAGTGGCCCAGGAGGGGACATGAGAGCCCCGCGCGGGCGCTGCTGAGTGCAGAAGGGGAAAAAGACAGCAGGAATTCCTGCCACGTAACTTTCGGTAATATAGATCTTTTGCTTTTGAGCTTTCGCGTAGAAGCTGGGTCTCCAGTGTCACCACATCCCCACCAGCAGGGGGCACCGCAACCTCGAACACACTCCAAGCCAAGTTTCTCTGGGCAGTGCATACTGACAATGCTCAAGGTCAATTAGCCACTTAACATGAAGGAAGGCCGCTGGCACGAGGCCTCAGCTTAGCCTCCCTAAAAGCCTGAGCCTACTTCAGAGGGTTCAGCTAAAATGAACTGAGGTGTGTACCAGCTCTGCACAATTCCAAGTGAGCAGTGCTCAGGCCCACTTTCATAGTCAGGATGAAACTAACCTGCAGTATAGACCTCCCTAGGCCCTTCAAGGTCTCAGCAGCAGCCAGCTAGGAATAAACTCCAGGAGGGATGTACAGACCATATTTCAGATCACCAGTATGGGGTCTGATACCAGACTACTGCTTACTACAACCTTCTCAAGGTGTTAGGTCAACCTAATTTTTGCTGTGCTCACCAACAATCACAAAGAGATGCAGCAAAAAGGCAGCACACCTCCAGCCCTCAGGAGAGGCATTTGGTGGCCATCCCCACTCCATGCAGCCCACAAGGACACTTCTTTCAGTTTTTGTTGTTATTTTTCCAACGGGGTCTTACTAAATAGTTCAGGCCAGCCTTTAACTCACTATGTAGCCCACCTTGGCCTCAAACTCCCAGTGGTCTTCCTGCCTCAACCTCTTAAGCGCTTGAATGACAGAGGTGTACCACCACACTCAGCTGTTTTCCTTGTTAGCTTTTGCTGTCACCATTCCATTGGTGTGAGTTAAGTCAAAGGTACAGTTAGCAATGGCTAGCCATGACCACCATAAATGACATAAACCAGAGTCCCAGGCCTCAGGGGGATGTAGGGAACTAGGAAACAGATGACTCAGTGTCATCAGTAAATATGCTGCAAGTAAATTTTTTAAAAAGGACCTATAGGATTAAAACACTAAGATGACCCAAATGTTATGTGGACCTTGTATGGGTTTTGATTCAAACAAAATAAATGTATATCACTTGAGGTAAGGAAATGTTTAACAATGACCACATAGTCAATGATATTAAAGAATTCTGGTTTTGGTATAACAAAGTATTATTCTTATGATCTTTAAAAAGAGGGCCGGGGATTTAGCCCAGTGGCACTGTGCCTGCCTCATAAGCGCAAGGTCCTGAATTCGATCCCCGGTACCAAAAATAAATAAATAAAAATATACCACAATGTGATCAAAATGATTCTGTAGTGCCGGGGGTTTAGCTCAGTGGTTCCATCGCCTGCCTCGCAAGCGCAGAGACCCGAGATCGATCCCCGGTACCAAAAAAAAAAAAAAAGAAGGTTCTTTAGTATTTGTTTCACAGTAATTGATAGAACAAATATAGCTATGATTTCATGATTGTTGTAGGTGGGTGATGGACACGGAGAGTCACTGTAGTATATTCTCTACTTTCAATCGCTTCTTGGCCTTTTGGCTAAGATCAAGTGTATTCTCTACTTCTCTATCTGTTTCAAAATTTCCATAATAAAAAGCAAAAATCAGCTTTTAAGTTCTTGGGAAAAAATGTAGTAACATTATGATTTGGGGAGGATTAATACATATTACAAACAAATATGTTATATTGCCTTAAATGTTATTCGAATGTAATGAGGAAAATGCAAATGGGTGAATTCTATAAAGTTCTACGCATGTATTGGCTTTTCGATTTTCAGATTCAATACATCATTCTCAAGATAGTTTAAAAGGCAAACATTTTAGATTATGAGATTAGAAACACAAATATTTTACACCTGCAGGTTTAATAACTAACTCTGAGTAAAATTAACCTGTACTAGGTAAGTCCACAAGGTTATTATCCATATATTCAACAAATACTCAGAATGTATTAAGTGCTAGAACCTGGGAGTATAATAGTTAAAGACGACAGAAGCCTTGCCCTCTGGAAGCTGATATTCTAGTTGGGGTTACAGTAAATGTGTTAAAACTCTAAATGTGTGTGTGTGTATCAATTTCTATTTGGAAGAATAATTCTGAGAGTTGAAGGTCAACAGGAGGCAGCAGATTATACTTGATGATGGGAATTTATTCCACATATACTGTACTATTGTTATTTCTCAATTCTAAATGCCTAGAATGCTACTTCTTTCAAATTCTGCTTTACATGATGTATCCTGTAGTAACTGGGTAAAAAAACAGAGTTGGCACACAGGAAGTATGGCTACCCTTAATGTTTTGAGAGATATGAACAATATTTCACATTTCAATTTTTTTTCAGTGCTAGAGACTGAACCTAGGACCTCACAAATTCCCAGCCAAGAGTTCTACCACTGAGCTAGATCCCCAACCCTTTTTGAACTTTTATTTTGAGACACGGTCTCTGAATTGCCCAGGCTGACTCTGAACTTGCTACCCTCCTAAATCAGTAAATCAGCCTCCCAAGTGGCTGGGATTACAGGCATGTACCACCACACTCAGCCACATAAAACCTTTTCTATGAAATAATCCAAGAGCTTCTTTCTTCTCCCACCTAAATACTTGTTTTACTATAAATAAACCCTTTAAGTAGCCATGGCATGTGTTATCCAGTATGATAGAAAACATTCCTAACAATACTCATCTAACCATCTAACAATGGATTTCTAACAGTTGGTTTCCCTAAAGACTTTTCTGTCAAATACAGTATCTTCAACACAGCATATACCTTCAGCCTAAGTTCATTTCATAGTCAGATTTTTTCTGTTATAGTTCTTAGGCTGCCACTTTGTCAAGATAATTATAGCTGGTATAAATAGCTCGCTTCCTGTAATTTAAAACCAACTAAAAAAGAAAGTACACAGCAAGGTATCAAAATCATTCATGCTTAAAGGCAAATGTATTCAGTTCTTTTTTGTGACGCACATAAGATAACTATGTGCTTCTCTGAGGATCCTCACATCCTCCATGGTGAACCATCTTGCAGTGTTCTGATAAGCATCTTACATAGGGGGGAAAAAAGGAACATTCTTGCTGACCTAGATTTGGCCAAGTCGGGAGTATACTGGGAGGAGAGCTAACGTCTACTGTCTCTTCTGTCACTTTCGAGCTTATAGTAGGGCCGGTATTAACGTGAACCAGCAGATGCCTAGAGAAGCCATTCAGATCTGTCACAACAGGGAGGAAGGCACAGGAGGAGAGGAGGAAGAGGAGACACTTGATGCCCTATGATGGAGTGTAGTGGCTGGCTGCTGGCTGGAAAAAAACAGAAAATGGAAGTATAGTTGTCCTCCTTAGGATGCCATGCCGAGCAGAAAGCCTCCAAAAAATCCTCCAGTCACTACAACATTCTTCTTCACAAATGACACAACCTGGAAACAGAAGATTTAGCAAATGGATTATTTTGCAAAGGATGTTAATATCAGGACTCATGTCTATTACCAATGATTAATAGGCAACATCTTCCTTTCCTTAAACTACAAAGTTTACCATCTCCTTTCTACCCTCCTGTAAAGTTCCTGCTCATCTGAGGCTTGGAGCATACACTCAGGCACACTTTGTGGCTCCTGACTGACAGCATCTTGACCTAATTATTCCTTGAACTCAAGTACAGTGACTTCATCTCCCACCACATAAGCTACTAACATCCTAAATTCCCCATCATTCTGCCACCCCTATTCTCCTTGAATTGGTCTTCAAATTGGTCTCACTCCCACTCCTGCACCTAACTTCCCTGGACCTTCACATTTTCCTAAATATAACACTATCCTGGGGATTTAGCTCAGTGGTTCCACTGACTGCCTCGCAAGCACAAGGACCCGAGTTCGATCCCCGGTACCAAAAAAAAAAAAAAAAATCACTAACCTTATCTACCACCAGAGGGAAAGAAAAAAAAGATTTACCTTCTTTGAAATAACTGCATTCATTTATTATTTTTACTTTCTTCCTATTTATTCTTCAATTTGCTACTTTGTCATTCAACTCCACACTAAAATTGTTTGCACTAAAGTCACCTTGTTGCTAAATACTCAACTTAACATCTTCATTTTGTTTTCCAAGTCAGAAAACAGGTTCTATGATCCCTTACACTGGACAACAGCACAAGCTTTGGCAAATAGCTTGCTACCATATAGAGACTGTCACCATGTACCTGGCATGCTAAGGTATCTGGCTCAGTATTTTTCTATTTTGCTAAGTCATTTACCATTTTCCAACTTCCAGAAGTTGGTGACATCTCTTGTGTACCAGTGTTCACCTCCTGTTCTCTTGGTCTTTGTGAGTTTAAACCCTTTTTTTTTTTTACTTTGTTACCATCTTTCAGAAATACTTCAAAAGTGGAGATAAATGCATGTGTTTATCTGCCATATTTAACCTAAGCATCTCATCTTCTACTACTATTCTACTTGATTATGACAGTTTCCTGTCACTGCTACTAGAGTATGACTGCCTCAAAGACAAGGAGTGTTCGGATTTATTTTTAAGTCCTCAGTGCCATTCAGCACACGAAAACCTTGAGGAGGATACAGGGTATTTTCTTCCTCTGCACTAAATCCGTTCCTTTTCCCCATGAAACAGAGAGAGGTAGTGGCAGAATCTCACTATTCAGACTATAAAAGGGACCAGCCACCTTCTTGACACCCCAACCCCAATTTGTTTTTCCCTAGTTCAGTGTACTTATTTCTTTGGGATGTTTAATGTGTTTCCAAAGGTAATAAAGTAGCAAAATACAGCTTTCCTATTTCTTCAATGCTAGCCAATATAACCTAGCCTGGCTCTATGGTCCTGCTATCTGCTTTTAAATAAAGTTTTGCTGCAACTCAGCCACACCCACTTGTTTATACATTATCTATGGCTATTTTCATTCTACATGGTACAGTTGAGTAGTTATGATGGAGACCATATGGCCCACAAAGCTGAAAATATTTACCATCTAGCCCTTTATAGACGTTTGCCAACCCCTCAACTAGGCAGTCCTACTAATTTGTGAAGAACAAGCAGAGTCGATGTTTCAGAGAGAAGTGGGCTTGGAGACAAAATAACTCAAAATGATACTGGCAGTAGGACTTACTTCCCACACATGGTGGTACCCCCAATCCTACAAGAACCAGTTAACTACAAGTGCTATCTGTATCACTTTGTATACTCAGTGATAAAGGCCACCAAATGTTTCAATTATGCACCTTTAAAAAATGTTTTGAATGGGCCAGGGATTTAGCTCAGTGGTTCTACCACCTGCCTCATAAACACAAGTTCCTGAGTTCAATCCCTGGTACCAAAAAAAAAAAAAAAAAAAAGTAAAAAAAAAAAATAAATCAAAGCTTTTTATTATATCTTTCAACCAAGGCTGACCTATACAATACAGCTTTTGTCTTATTATTTCAAGTTCTTTGTAATCTTTAACCTTGTCCATTGCTGAGATACTGGTATGTCTATTTCATTTCTGTCTGTACCCTTTATACACTGCATGGGAACAAAGCCTCACCTCCTCAGCTTTGCTCTTGACCTCGGTTGTTATCTGGTTGCTCTTACGAATCTTCAGTTGCTCTTTGGCTTTTTTCATGTCTGTCTCTACTCTCTGCCAGTCGACTTTAATGTATCCAGTGTGGTTTGCAAGCTACAGTTTCAAAAACAACGAAAAAAGAAATGAGAAACAGAGACTTGTTATTTCCTTTTGTCAAGATAAATCACAAAGTAGAGAGTGAAACTCTCTGTCTTTCCATTTTTGGAGACAAGTGCTCTCTGGCTCTTTGTAGATGATGGCATTCATTCAACATCTACTCAGCATCCACCCTATGCATACTTGGCACTGGAAATAAACAGATGGCCCTCAATAACTGCTGACAATTCTCAATTTATTTATGGTCTTCTCCCTCCTTTACAGAGTTTTTTTTTCAGAGTTTTAAGTTAGCTTAAAAAATAAGATGGTAAAATGAAAATTAAAATAAGGAAGTCAATGAAAACAATTTTATCAAGGAATTTTGAACACGATAAGATCGATCAAGTGCAGGGCCGGGGATTTAGCTCAGTGGTTCCGCCGCCTGCCTCACAAGCGCAAGGTCCCGAGATTGATCTCCAGTACCAAAAAAAAAAAAAAAATCGATCAAGTACATAGTTTTAGGATGGGTTAGTGTTATCCATACAGTAAAGAGAATGAATGTAGCCCATCACTCAATCCCCCACCAATACTACTTCTCTCTACCCAATTTTTGGTAAGTCATATCTAAAATGGAAACTTTTTACCCTTCTAGCATTTCTTCCTGCAGCTGCTCTTCCTCTAGTCCCTATATTATTTAATGACACCACTAACCAATTACTCACTCAAACAGGACCGGCTGGAGAAAATATTTGTATCACAAACAAAACAATAATATGCATTTTAAAAAGTGAAGTTCTTATATGGATCAGTCAGGAAAAAAAACCCACTTGCAAAATGGGTAAAGGCAATTCACATAATAAATTGAGAAAAAGAAAAATTTCAACTTCACAAAGTACTTCAGGAAGTGTAAATTAAAACAATGAGCTACCATAGTTTTTTATCAGATTGGAGAAAAAGGTTAAGAATATCCTGTTAAGATATGGGGAAACACTATTAATGCATTCTTACTGAGAGCATTAAATGGAGCCTTTTAAGAGAACAATTTGTCATTCACTACCAAAACTGAAACTACATGAGCTCTTATGCCACATCCAGGATGGAACAAGCTGTCATAGTAGCTTTGCTTAGAACAATCAGTAACTGGAAATAACTTACAAGTCCATCAGCGAGGGAACAGACAGACAAATCGTGCCATGTTCATACAACCAAATATTAGTACTAAAAAAGAACAAAGCTTTACAGCAGCAACACAGTTGAAAATCAAAAATTGTATGCTAGCCAAAGGTTGGAGCTCATTTATTATACCCAGTTTTTCCCACAGAATACTGTTACTAACCAACAGAATACAGAGAATAGCTATTTGAGGGATCTAACAAAACAAACAAACAAACAAACAAAAAGCAACAAGCAGATTAGAGAATTCAAGGCATTGCTGAATTGGTAGTGTGATTCCTGTTTTGCCTGCCGTACCATCTGGTCTATCCTCAAAGCATGACTCAAAAAACATCTGACAAAATTCAACATGCATTCACAACAAAACTCTCAGTGAACTAGGAATAGAAGGGAACTTCAACTTGATAAAGAACATCAACAAAAAACCACACAGCTAACACTGAACAAATTTGATGAAAGAAAGCTGGGAACAAGGAAAATATGTCCACTCACTATACTCCTATTCGACATCATTCCAGAAATAAAGTTGTAGTGAATGAACAAAGCAAGAAAAACAACTGAGGCATCCAGATTGGAAAAGAAGTAGTCAAACTGTTCCTATTCACACATACCTTTGTCCACACAGACAATCTCAAAGAATCCAACAAAAAACAAATAAAAGCTCCTAGACTTAAAAAGAAAGTGAGTTTAGTTCAACACACAAAATCAACTGAATTTCTATCTGCTAGCAATTTGAATAACAGGAAATAAAACTTTTAAAATAATGTATAATACCTGCAGGAATATTTCAATATTAGTTATAAATCTAACAAAACATGCAGAATCCATATGCTGAAAACTACAAAATGATAAAGAACTCAAAGCCAATCCAAATAGATACACACTGGACATATGGAAGACCTCACATAGAAATGATGTGTAAAACACAACACTAGCATGATCTTTTATAGATATTTAAAAGGCAAGTTCTAAAATTTACATGGAAAGGTAAATGAACTAGAGGGCTGGGGATTTAGCTCAGTGGCACCGCACCTGCCTCACAAGCACAAGGTCCTGAGTTCGATCCCAGGTACCAAAGAAGAAAAAAAGGTAAATGAACTAGAATCGCTCAAATAATTGTGAAAAAGAACAGACCTGGGGCTGGGGGTGTGTGATAAGCACTTGTCTAGCATGCAGAAGGCTATGGGTTCGATCCCAAGTACGGAAAGAAAAAAGAACAGAGCTAGAGGAATCTCACACTGTCTGATTTTAGGATTTTCTATAATGGTACAGCAGTCAAGACAGCGTGGTATCGAAGTGACACACAAATCAATGGAATAGAAGGAAATGTACAGAAAGAGACCCATACAAAAATGTTTTTAAAGATTTTTTTTTTCAAAATAGCAAAAGCAGTACTGGTGGTAGCAAAGTCCCCTGCATGGCCCAGGCCAGGAGCAGGAGGTAGCTTCCTGCTTCCTGCTCTCTACTGGCATCACTGGAGGAATACACTGCAGAAAAGGAGCATGAAAAGCAAAACTGAAAAGGAAGTGCCTCTACAAACAAAGCTTAGCATCACACTCCTTCCTCTGAAGAAGAAATGCCAGAATCCAGCCCATGCATGCTGACTGTGGAAGGTGAATGTGGACTAAGAGGTAATATGCTGAAAACGGGCACTTGACTCATGAGTGCTGCTGCTCAACGGTGACTGAAATCAGAACACTGCGAGCTGCAAACAATGGCCTGAATGCCTCAAGAAGTGTTGGCTTGGTAAGGAAAAACAAATTCATAAAGACTGTGAAGGAAAAATGCCATTGTTTTTATAGATAGCATGATTCTACAGATAAAATCCCAAACAAATCAGGAATAAGAGTCTTTAGAAAGGTGGCTGGCTACAAGAGCAACATAAGTTATCAAATGCATTTCAATATGCCAGTGTGAGAACATTAAGTTTCAAATTTTATATTAAACAGAGGAGTGATTAAAGCTATAACATACCTAGAAGTAAAGCCAAATTACAATGTACAAGACCTATACGGAAAAATAATAAAACTCTATTCAATGATATTAAAGAAGACCTAAATAAATACAAAGGCCATGTTAATAGATAGATGCTGAAAGATCAAAAATATACTAATTCGTTTCCAGTTCATAATGTTCCAATGCAATCCCAATAAAAATTTCAATAGATTTTTGAAAGTAATTGAACAAGCCTGATCTAAAATTTAAAAGGATGAGCAAAAATACAATGTACCTATGACATTCTGAAGAACAAGGTAGCGGAATTTGCTTTACCAAATGTCAAGACTTAATGCTATCATAAAGACAGCATGTTGCCCAGTGGAACAGCATAGAGAAACAAGAATCAAGATCCACATGTATATGGATTTTGAGGACAGAGACAAATGTACAAATATTAGGAAAAGAATTATCTACTAAATGCTGCTGGAACAATTATCAGCATGAAAAACTGAGAGACATTTATAGACAAAACTACAGTGATGGAAGACAGAGCAGTTGCCAGGGACTGGGGTTGGGGTGGCTGCGACCACAGAGCAATTTTGAAGGATGATAGAGTGATAGAGCTGCTCTGTGTCCTGGTCACCATGGTAACAGAACTGCACCCCCCCCATCTGTTTACTGTATGAAACGTTAGAAGAGAAATAAACATGGGCTTCCTTGTACCACCTCCCCCCCAAAAAACCTGACAGACACAAACACACAGAGATCCAGCCAGCTCACAGCTGCCTCAGCCCTTTGCCAACATCTGCCTGTAACCACGAGAATCGGCCACAAGCACTCCTCTGACCCCTTCCCAAACTTCTAATGCACATTCACCATGAGAGATAAGAAAATGATAGCTATCTGAAGAAATTAGGTCTGAAAGAATTTGTTATGTAGCAACACTATACTCAACCAAGCCCCAGCAAGTAACTGGCTTCTTCCTTCCACACAATGAATTTTCACCTGACCTGTCTGGAAAACTCACTATGATTGTGGTAGTATAGAACTTACTTGCCCAAATGAGGATTGCCAATTGTGGAAGGAGAAGCAGTACAAGAGACTAGCACCACTCAACAAGTCATGGCTCTTTCAATGCAGCAGTTCTCACAGACTGCTGCACATCAGAGTCACTCTGGAAATTTCAAATGTTCTGATGTAAGTCCATGCCTACAACCAATGAAATCAGACTTGAGGATGCTAATGAGTATCAGTGTTTTTAAAAAAACTACCAGTGATTCCAATGCAGAGCCAAATTTGAACACAAATCCTACAGAACTAATATGTGCCCACTACAATTAAATATAAGTTTTCTTTTGTCTTGCAGAACCTGTTCCTTGTTTTTGCCCTAGCCTCATAGAATCTGCATCCACTCATTCTGAAATATAAACTACAGGCCAAAGAGACAGCTCAGTGGCCTCAACAAAACAGCCGGACACAGCACGTTCATGACGGGGCTGTAATTCCTATGTCTCGCTTCCAGGTGGCTCTGATTTGAATTGACTGTCCCACTGGGTGGCTTGAACCACCAGTGATACCACTTCTCAGGGGGTCTTTGATTACAATAATGCAAAGGTGTTGATTTAGCAGACCAGATGTCATCATATTACAGTTCCTTAAGACATTGAAACGGCGTGAAAAAATTGTAACAGCTAATCTGTGGTACAGCAGTTGTAAATGCATATTATATAGACCAGCAATGGGGTACTTGTAAGATTTCCATGTTAAGGCTGGGGTTTAGCTCAGTGGCGCTGTGCTGGCCTCACAAGCACAAGGTCCTGAGTTCGATTCCCCATACCGCAAGGAAAAAAAAAGATTTCCATGTTAAAATTTAGAGAATTATTGATAAACTATTAACCCATGAAGAAATGTCATGGATTCAAAATACTCAAGAAAATATTCACTTTATAAAAAAGCTTATTTAGGATTGGCAAGAAACTCACACAAGCGATGTAGAGAATGTTATCAAAAATTATCAGAAAAAATGGGTGCCTCTGTGGCCGCAAAAAAGCCAAATGCATTACAACGTTTTACACACTCTGTACAAATCAGTCGCCTTTATATATATTTTTTAAATTCACAAATACAAATACATTTCTTTTAGTTTAATGAATAAATGTGTTGATTGCTGTAATAATTATACTTGGTATAAATAATATTAATATTTATTGGGCAATGTTAAAGTTTGTATCTAGATGACCCCCCAGGGCCTCAGGCAGTCATAGGTGGGGCTTTTTCAGAAGTGGCTGGGTCTAGAGTGTGTGATGCTGGGATTGATTCATGGTGCAATGCTGGGCTCAAGGGCACTAGGATTAAGGGTGTGAGTGCTACCCACCCTAAGTAGCCTAGATAGGATATAAGAGACAGAAAGAGCTGTGGTTGTCCCTTGTTGCTTTGCTACCTTCTGCCCACCATGAACTGTTTCTCCTCTGCCATGCCACCCTGCCTTGGAGCCAGCCGATTATGGACTGAAACCTCTACAAACTGTGAGCTAAATAAACCTTTCCCATTGCCTCACAAGCACAAGGTCCCGAGTTCAATCCCCTGGTACCCCCCCAAAAAAACCTTTCCCCCTTAACTTTGGGTGTCAGGTATTTTGTCTCAGCAATGAGAGAAAAGTAACTAAGAAAGGCAGTAATTATTCAAATTTAACCAACTAACTAGATTCGGTCTGTTTATAGACTTTTTATTAATTTTATTAGTAAAAAGACCAATAAAAATAATTATATTTGTACCCCCAGTGATACAAGCTGCCCGATGGGACAATCATGCATGTATCATCAGTCACACATACAAGCTGGTGGAAATGTGTTAACTCATGAGAATAAAATGTATCCCAGGGCACCAGGGTCACACTTTGTAGTTTTAAAATCATATTTGCTTAGTATTTCAGTAGTTCTTAAGGGAACTATGAAAAGGAATATGTACTTCTGTCCCCATGTTATACATAAGGAAATAAAATGTTACCAGTAACTGATAAAATTTGAGTGAAATGGTTACTAGCTTTTAAAATAGTACATAAAAACAAGCGGAAATAATATGGACAGAACTATATTATAACTCCTCCAACCTCAACGGCCCCTAATGGGAAAGTAGAATTTTCAAACAGCTTGGAATACTTCATATACAAACCTGAAGGAGAAAAAATCCACCTCCAACAGCTGTTGCAGCCAACTTTCCAACCTTCTGAAATATGAAACCAGTGCACCTACAAAAACCAAACCAGTATCAGATAAACTGACAGGCTGTCAGAGGTACACAACACGCATTTCTGGTGATGTTCAGATCCTCCTTACCTTGAGATGATCCAGCTCCTTCCTACCCCCTGCAGAAAGCCAGCCCTAAATGGTGCGTGACATAAACAAATCAAATCTTGGCTCTACCACTTAGTAAGTCTGTGGGTTTTTTAGCAAGAGCCTTAAAACTCTCAGGAAGAGTTTCTAAAAGGATGACTGTGCTGGCGGACTGAGTTAGAGGACAGAGTGGTTGCAGGGGATGAGGTTAAGACTCTGTCCTGAATGACCTAGGTAGACAATGATTGGCATTTTTAATGACATGAAAACAAGAAAGAGGAACAGAGAAAAAGGTGGTGGAAAGGTGGAGAGAATAATGCCATTTTGAAAATGTTGAATGTGAAATATCTATATCAGTGATAGTGAATCTTTTAGAGCTTTCAATGACAACAAACAACCCTCTGTGGTACATGTGCCATAGGTTTGCCACCATTAGTCTACATGATATCTGAGTGGCTACATCTAATGGCCAGTTTAATATCATTATTTGATTTATGATTATCTCTCTTCTGCCTCCACCTTGCACTAAAACATAAGATCTGTGAAGGCAGAGATTCTATTTTGTTCACTACCGTATGCAGATATCCTGTAATTATTAACCATCACTGAAAAGAATTCCCCTAGACCACAATTCTTCCCCAGCCACCTTCCTTTTTCTCTAGTCCCCTTTACAGCAAAATAACTTCAGGGTTGTCCATAATTGCTGTCACCATGATCCTCTGTACCCATTCTCTCAAATCCACTCCATGCAGGCTTTTGTACTATGGTTTCAATAAAACTATTTTTATCATGATGACACCTAATGCTAGCATTAACTTTACAGCCTTCATTTCATTTGACCTCTAGGAGCTTTGGAAAGAGTTGATTATTTTTTAAAATATAATCAGGTTTACAACATGATGTTATAGGATACACATAGTCAAATGGCTATTTCAGTGAAACAAATTAACAATCCATCTTCTCACAAATTTACTGTCTAGTTACAAGAGCAGCTAAAATCTATTTAACAAACACCTGAATACAATACAATTACCTATAATCCTCATATTGTATATTAGATCTCTAGATTTGTTCATCCTCCATATCTGGTACTTTGTATCTTTGACCTACACCTCTTCATTTCCTCTCCTCTGCCCTGACCCTGGTACCCACTGTTTGATTCTCTATCTCTGTGTACAGTATTTTATGTCTTAAAATAAGATTCCACAGCAAGATCATGCAGTGCTTGTCTTTCCGTGCCTGCTTACTTCACTCAACATAATAATCTCCAGGTCTACACATGTTGCTACAAATGATAGGATTTCCTTTTTACAGAGAAACAGTACTTCATTGTGTATCTATAGCACATTTTAAAATCCATTCATCAGCTGATGGACAGTTTGCTTCCATATCTTAGCTACTGAGAATGGTGCTGTGATGATCATGGGAGTGCATATACTCAGGAGGCGGGTTGCTGGATCTGATAGTAGTTTGGCTTTTAGCTTCTTTAGGAGTCTCCACACTGTTTTCCACAGGGCAGCACTAATTTACATTCCCACCAATAATGCTCAAGGGTTCCCCTTTCTCTATAACCTGACCAGCTCTAGGTATCTTTGGTCTTTTGGGAAATAGCTATCCTAACAGGTATGAAGTAATATCGCACTGTGATTTTGATTTGTATTTCCCTGACTATTGATGAGGATCATTCCCTGTGTGCTCACTTTCTAGATGCTCTCATTTAGCTCCATGACTTTAAATGGCATCTGCTCTGGTCTGCACCAGGATCTCTAATGTAGATTACTGTTACAGCTTTTCACCCAGCCACCTTATGCCCACTTTTGCTCCCTAGAATGTATTCTCAACATAGCAGCCCATACATTTTTTCTAAAACAAGTCAACAAACCATGCCCCGGGAGTCAGATCCAGACCTTTTGCTAAGTCACAAAACAGCCTAAAAGGAAATGAAATCAGTGCACTGTAGAGATACCTGAACTCTCACACTCACTGCAACTATTCAAAGAGCTAAAATATGGAATCAACCTAAGTGCCGATCAGTGTAATAATGGATAAAGAAAGTGAGGTGTATATCTGCACAATGGAATACTGCTTAAAAGGAGAACACTGTTCATTTGCAACAGTATGGATGAAGTTGGTGGGCACTGTGCTAAGTGAAATACCACATGATCTCACTAACATGTAGAATGTAAAAAAGGTGAGCTGCTGGACACAGTAAAACATTATCAGAGGCTAGGGATGGGAAGCTCGGGCAGATGTTGGTTAAAGACATAAAATTTCAGAGAGTCCTGCCCCTTCCACTCAGGAGGAACATTGTGATATGTGATGTCCCACCAAGGGCCCTCAGCCAAGCCTGTGATTTTTTTGGTCCAGTCAGGCTTCATAAGGTCATGAGTGACTGAAGACATCCTCCCCCTCTTCAAAAAGCTTGCTATTTCTCCCAACCAGACAAAGCTCCTTTGTCCTTGATGAACCTGCAGAGCCCAAGGAAGGAAGACAAAGGACTTTTGTCCCACCTCTTACTGCTATGTGGGCTGCGGCTTGGTGAAATAGAAATAAAAAGTTAGGCCTGTGTTTTCTCAGCTCACCTTACCCAGGATGGCTTCTGAGCATGCCTCTTGGTAAAGGAAGAGAAGCCCTCCCTACTATGCCTGTCCCACCAAGCCTGAGGAGGACCTCCTTCCCGTTACCTCTCCCTGACCTCATTTGTCAGCCCATCGAGTAGGATCCCTGCCCTCAGACCACACTCCTGCACTGCAACCCCAGGACCAGTCTGGCCAGATCCAGCTTTATGCAAGGAACTTGGTAGCATTTCATCTACTACCGGTAACATTCCAAAGTTAACCCAGAGGTAGCTATGGACATACCAAGGGGAGCCAGCCAATGTAGAAAAATTTTTAATATTCTATCTACTGTTTTGATATAAGATTTTGATGATTTGGCCCAATACCAAAGGCTCTGAATCTTCCTGATGCTGCCATTTTGAACTCTATAGGAGATGTTTACAAAACCTGCAGTGGGCCCAGGCTCATCACAGGGGATCTTCAAAGCAAAAGAGGCAGAAGAAATTAGAGGGAAGAGTGACTGTGGAGAATGATCAGAGAGATGCAATGTTTCTGGCTTTTGAGATGGAAGGAGGAGGCCAGGAGCCAAGGAATGCAGCAAGTGGCCTCACAAAGCTGGAAAAGGCATGAAAACTGATTCTCCCTGGAGAATCCAGAAAGGCACACAGCTTTCTTGACACCTTGACTTCAGGCCAGTGAGACCAGGGTTGGACTTCTAATCTAGAGAACTGTGAGAGACCTGGAGCTCTGAGAGGTCAGAGGCCTTCTCATGGTCATATTGTGGCTAAAAGGACAAAACAGGAAGGTGACACAGAGTTGAAGCAACTCACCATGTTCTCTAGAGAAACCTCTCACCAGGAGCCATGCCAATACATTCTCTACTGGATGTCTAGAGAACAAATGAATGCTTGGGGAGCACAAAGCCTTAAAAACTCTCCTGTGGGTTCCAGACAGCTAAAAGGCTAATATGCACTCTGACAAGAGGTGTTTGTGGATGAAGAAATGTCAGGTTGAGCTTTCTTGGGAAACTAGATCAGGGACTAAGTGAAATACAGTCTTTCCTAATCTTGGGGTTATTCAAAAGCTGACCTGTTAGCAGTGGAGATCTATGTTGCCCTTAGAAGACCATTTCAAATATCTAGTTTCTTAACAACAAAGTGGCACTGGAGGATGCAATGTTATATGACAACAAGTACATGGACTCCAGGATCTAGATAGCTCTGAATGAACTGCATTTGCATCACCTACAAACTGAGTGATCCCAGCGAATGACTTCACCTCCTGAAGCCTCAATTCCTTCACCAATGATACTGACCTCACAGGTCTTATGAGAAGTCAGTGAGATTGTGTATATAAAGTGCCTGTCCCAGTGGTCTGGCACATAATAGGTCCTCAGCACTGTTAACTGTCATCATCATGAAAGCAATTATAGCTGGGGATGTAGCTCAGTGGCGCCACGCCTGCCTTGCAAGCACAAGGTCCTGAGTTCGATCCCTGGTGCCACTAAAAAAGAAAAAAGAAAGCAATTATATCACTCCTGTAAGAATGGCTGTTCTCAGAAAGACAAAGATAAGTGCTGAGAAGGATGTAAAGAAAAGGGAACCCTTGCACACTTTTGGGGGGCATGTAAAACAGTACAGCCACGGTAGAAAATAAGAAAGTTCCTCAAAAAATTAAAAATAGGGCTGGGGACAGTGCAATAAAATTGGAGATCAATAACATAAGAAACCGCAAAACCCCCACAAACCCATGGAAATTGAATAACACCCTCCTGAACAACCAGTGGGTCACAGAGGAAATTAAAAAAGAAATTAGACAGTTTCTACAAGTAAATGATAATGCCAGTACAACATATAGGAATCTATGGGACACAATGAAAGCAGTTCTACACGGGAAATTCATAGTAGTGAATGCCCATATTAGGAAAACAGAGAGAACTCAAATAACCGAATGCAGAACCTCAAGCTCCTAGAAAAAGAAGAGCATAACAAACCCAAAGCTCCTACAAGAGAGGAAATTATAAAGATCAGAGCAGAAATCAATGCAATGGAGACTAAGAGAATACAAAAAATTAATGAATCAAAGAGTTGGTTATTTGAAAGAATAAGTAAAATAGATAAACCTTTAGCCAACCTTATCAAAAAAAGGAAAGAAAAGGCTCAAATCCATGCAATTAAGAATGAAAAGGGTGAAGTCACAACAGACCCAGCAGAAATCCAGAGGAACATCAATACCTACTTCGAGAACCTGTACTCTAATAAAATGGAAAATACAGAAGAAATGGACAGATTCCTAGATACATACAAATTGCCAAAGTTAAATGAAGAAGATACAGAAATTCTAAACACCCCAATTAC